GCTTGGTTTGCCGAATTGGCTGCATCTTTTGGTTGAGGGTAGCCATGTTTGTCGTTTTGAAGGGAACCCAAACTTGCCACGGCTTGTTTTTGTGTGACCATTTTGCCCAAAAGGACCTTCTGGCAACAAATGGCTTTTCCATTAAACCTGAGGAGGGAACAACCCGGATGTAGTGGATCCATATTCCAGATCCTATGATGGTTTCCTCTAAGTTTTACATGGCTGGGTGTCACTCGTGGTTTTTGTTTGGTTTCCTATTGGGTTCCTTTGGTTTCCTCTGGCAACCCCCAAAAAACACAGGTCCCCGACAGCCCCGACGCCTGTGAAACCGAATTTTGACCACGTAGCTGAAGGAGCTGTTGGGGAAAAGCTTCCCATGGCTTCCTATAGTTTTCTCTGGCAACCCCCGAAAGAAAGAAAAACAACTCTTGGTGGCTCCTAGCCATCCCCTTGGGTTGTTAGAATTTTTAGGGTTCCGTGGCGGTTGCCGTGAAACCCACTTACCTGTTTTACACTTTTAAGCCGGGATCTGAAAAAACGGACAGCCCAGAAAAGGAAAACTAGGTCCCCCAGTAGTGCCCTTCTCTCCCCTTTTTGTGGTTGGGAGGGTTCCCGTACTAGAAGCGACTACAGAAAAAAGGCAACGGCACCAACTTATTACAACCTCTCCACTGGAGGACCTCGTATTTGTTGTTTTGTTTAGGACCTCCCCTTTCGTCTTCCCGTAAAAAACAACCTCAAAAAGGCGGCAAACAGATGGAGCCAATTGGGCTCCAGGAGTGCGTGGCCGGGGACCTCTTCGGGGAGCTGGCCTTGCTCTACAACTGCCCCCGCGCCGCCTCTGTGGAGGCCGCGCAGAGGCGCCCTTCGTCGACGTCGAGTCGATTCGAAGCGGCGGGCAGGGGGGGTGGGGGGTGGGGCGTGTTCCCCTCCAAGCGATGATTCCAAGCACTTCCCGACACGAAAAACCCGGTGAAGACACAGGGGTTGATTCAGATGGGTCAACATGAATGCAACTCTGATTACGACCCCCCCCCCCCCCCGTACTGTGGATGGTTGCAAAATCCTCTTCTCGCACCACCGTTGAGAAACCCTGGCCATGCTTCCCCAAATTTTAAGGAGTCCCTTTTTAGTGGGGATTCCTTTCTTGGAGGGCGACCCCCTGATTAATTACTGGGTGTGTATTCATCAGGGGTCAACAACAGTAAATTAGAACCATGGTAAGGGAACCTTACTGTTGTTGGGTCATATTTTTGGGTTGTTCGGTTTTTGGGTTCTGTTCATGTTTAGTGTGGGGGCGGCCGGCAAAAAACAGTCGGTTTGTTGCCATCATGCCAGACATTAACTTCCCGTTTCCCAGTCCGGTTCCTTAGGTGTTTAGTGTTTTTTGTCGGCAGGTGGTTGGGTTCCCATTCACCCAGCCCAGGCAAGGGCACCCGCCCAAGTTGCTCGGAGTGCGGTCGCTTGATTTTATGTCCCCAGGAAAATAAGAAAGCACCCAGGACGTGGTGTTCAGCATGTCAGGCTTGTGTCCCTAAACGCAGCATGAGTTTGTTCAGGATTCCAACCATTCAAACCTACAAGGGCAGTCATCGAAGACAGCGTGGAGTTTGCTCATATGTCAAGGTTCCAACCATACTTGCCTAAAAGCCATCGCCAAGGGAAACTCGCCGGCCAAACGGGTGATTGAAACGGGAAACAACTCCAATTTTTCGGGGTTGAGCTTGGCGCTACAGGTGCCGCAAAATGAGCCGATGGCGGATTTCATGTCTCAAAATGCGGAGGGGAGAGGGGGTCGGGGGGAGCACCTACGACATGCACCCACATGGCACCCGAAACTGGGGGTCCTTACTACGACATGAACCCGTATTTTGTGCGTTTTGCATTTGACATTTGGGCTCATCTTGTTTCGAGTCAGAGTCGTTTATAATGGAAACGAAACGGGGAGTGTCTTCTTTGGGGTTGCCCTCATTCACAAAGAAAGCAAATGTCCCCCCAAAAAAAAGAAAGAAGCAAAACGAGAAGAAGAGGCAAGACACTAAGCACAAAGCGATTAGATCCAGAATGAGCCACCCATTTGTGTGTGCCTTTGTGAAGGTTGGACCTCCAACATGGATTTCGGTCTTCCCCTTGGTGTCCCTTTGAAATCGACCAAAAAAGGAGAACCCGTCGCCTCACCAAACAAGACAGCCCCATTTTGACCGCCGGCTGGATCATTCCGTCCCTCGTTCGGGGGAAAAGATCGAATTTCGCCCTCCAAAGTGGCTGGACAGAAATCCCCGGTGTCTATGAAAAGGGCCAATCAACGTATCACGCCCATCCCGCACTTCCTGGGTTTATGAACTCTAAGCTTTTTGGGTTTGGACCATTTTGGTGGTAAATATAAAGTTTGGGGACGTTTTTTTGGGCCATCCACTCAGCCAGTGCGTTTTGAGTTGGAAACACACGCATTGGCCACTCGCGGAGGTGCGTGCTGTGGGAGCTTGACAGGGAGAGCTTCAACCAGATCGCGACTGGGATAAGGGCCGTGCGTTAAAAAGAAGCTGAAACCGGCTCTTTGGATCTGTCTCACCGGGTAAAGCGAGCTCACCATAAACATCTTTTTTAGCTGGGGATCCACTGGGATGTGCGTTCGACAAAATAGCTGAGGCTGAAACCGGCGCTTTCTCGGTCCGCCAGCTAGGTGCCCTTCTCTCTTCACTTGGTTGGGAGGGTTCCCGTACTAAAATAGACAAAAGAAAAAGTTGGTGAACTTATTCTAAGCTCTCTACTGGAGGACCTAGCTTTGCTTGGACCTGTCTGCATACTTTATTGCTAGCTCGCCGGGGGGTAAAGCGAGCTCACCAGGGTAAAGTTCCTTTACTTGCAGATCCCTTATTTCAGGTTTAGGGCATATTGCAGAATTTGCAGAATCTTTGGGCGTTAACTTTTTGGGAAACCGTGGATTTCCATTTAGCCCCACAGAAGTGAAACTGTTTGCAGGCAGGGGCATTGTTCAATTCCCCGCCCCTCGGTTTTTTGGGCATGGCTTGGTGGGTCCCGAACTGTGAACCGCTGCCTTATTGTCCCAGACCTTTTTTTGACACCCTCTTCTGGTGTTTTGTTTGTCTTTCTTTTTTTCTGTTTTCTGTTGTTGTCTTTTCTTCTTCCCAGACCCCCCTGTCTTGATGGTTCCCAGCAGGGCATGAGGGAACTATCCCTTGTGGTTGCCCTAGGGGATCCATTGGTTCGTTCCATTCCCTCTGACAAGCATCCAACTTGGGATGCATAGGTCCCTATGAAGCATCAGGAACATGTTGATTCTCTGAGCGATTTTTCTGGTACCCGCGCCTTCTTGGCAGTTTTCTCTTGTGCGTCATTACAGCACAGAAACATGGCTGTGGCTCAAAAAACCGGTACCACAATGGAACCCTGGTAAGTGGAAACATGGACCAAAACCTGCGGTTTGCCCCTCCTGTTTGATTTTGAGCCACACCCACATCATTAATGATTAACAGCTCAATTGGAATCTGGCGTCCCATGGAATCCCAGAGGGCCCCAAGATGGTCCAGGACCCCCAGCTATGTTGGCGGTTCCAGCGTCCCCTAGGTTTTGAGTGGTTGGGAATCCATTTCACCCACAAGTTATTATTTGTTGCAAGACCTGAAAGCGGATTGCCTAGAGAATAGGTCATAAACCACGGGCGGAAAAAGCAACTACGTCCTTGGATCATGTTTTCGGCGTTTCTCCGTGTTTCATATTTTTGGGGTTCTGATCTTTTTGAGTGGGCTGCAAAAAAGCAGTGCGGTTTCCAGCCGTCCCCTTGGGCTTCCAGTGAACCCACAAGTTATTCACTTTTCTAGCAGGGGAAATGTGAACATGGACCGCCGAGTTTCTCGCTTGGGTTGCTTTGAGCATCACCTGGGCACATAAATCTGCAGTGAGTTTGGGGTGATGTTTCGAGGGAAAACCACCGGGTCGCCCCTATCGACCCTCGACCCACGTCCCAAGATGGCACCCGACAGTCTCAACACTGGGAGCTGGGAGTTCCACTTGCTGCGGTTTTCAGCCGTCCCCTTCAGTCTTGAAGGTTTGGTAGGGTTTAATTAGTGTTGGGTTTAATTAGTGTTTGGAAGGTTTGGTAGGTTTGGTATAGGTTTAATTAGTCTTCAGTCTTTTAGCAGGGGAGCCCTGAAGTCTTGAAGGTTCAGTAGGGTTTAGTGGTTGGGTTTCCAGTTCGCCCACCCGCCAAGAACCTTTGGGCAGAGCCCAGAACCGTCGGATGGAATCGCTTTTTGTTTTTGTTGATGTTTACACTAGCCCGGTCTATTTTGAAAATCCTCATTTTGGATTCTCGTGATTCCAGAACCGCGAGAGGTGAAGAAGGCGGCCATCTCCCACCGGGAGCAGCTCGAGGAGTTCCTCGAGAAGGTCGCGGGACGCGATTTGTTTGTCCGATGTTTTTCGATGCGTCGAGCGGGAACGCCCCGATGCGGAAAAACTGGGGGGGGGGGGGGTTCTTCCATTTGCTTAAGATAATATGTGTGATAATTATGTGCCGTATCACTATTGGAAATATATATATATATATATTGTTGTGTTTTTCTCGAAGTTCGAAGGGGCTTAAGAAAATGGAGGAAAATAGGGGACCCCTCCCCCGTTTTTTCCCCAGCGAGCGTCTTGCGGGGTCGATAGGCCCAGAAATCGGCGATACGGGGTGGGGGAGCTTTGGGAGGGTTCCGGAGGGGTTCCGGGGCTGGGGATACCTGGGCGTCTTGTTTCTGTTGCTTGGATGCGTCTCACAGATACACTGGTTTCAAGCTCATTACTTGCCACGCTTTTTGAACATCCAGGCATTTGAGGGAAGGCCGGCAATCAGCTGGACTTATGTTAAATCAAGGTTTGGGTTTGCACTTCTCTTTCTGTTAGAACCACAAAAAGGGGTACCCGCAAAACAGGCAGCCGGGTCAGAAGTCGACTCCCTTTTTGATATCTCCCTTTCAAAGGGCGGCCAAGATCCAAGAAGGGGCTGAATCTTTTGGACAATCCGATGTTTGGCACAGCTTTTTCTAGAAAGGGATGTCTTGTTGTCTCATTGGATTAGTCGAGGCCCCTTTTGTGGACCCGCGAATTCTGGACCCCGAGGCTCCTAGGTCTAATGTGAACCCAGGCTTTGGCAACCCGGGACCCGAATCGATGGTGAGGGGCCCCTCCAACAGTGGCATGTATAGTTTGTCAAGCGACGTTTCTCGAGGTGCCCCTGTTGCAGAGTATGGAGACCTACGAGCGCAGCTCCCTTTGTGATGCGCTGCATGCTGTGTCCTTCAACAAGGGCGAGGCGACTCGGGCGAAATGCTGGTGTGTTTGGATTTTGGACTTCTGAGGTCAAAGGTCAGAAACTGGTTGGTGTTTCTCCGTCCCGCCTACCACTTAGGGGGTGATGCTAGTGGTAAAACACTAGCGCCAGCCGTGTGTCTTTCTTGGAGTGCGTTCTTGTTTTGGGGGGTTCCCTTAAAGGGAAAGCCAAGGACCCCCGATCCGCATTCACGAACAGGGGGACCTTCGAATGGTTGATCTCTCGCTTCATTGCTATTGGCGCGCATGTTGTGTGTCCGCGTTTGTGTCTGTGTCTGTGTCTGTGTCTGTGTGTGTGTGTCTGTGTGTGACTGTGTCTGGTGTCTTGTGTCTGTGTGTGTGTGTGTGTGTTTGTTTTTGTGTTTGTCTTTGTCTTTGTCTTTGTGTCTGTGTCTGTGTCTGTGTTTGTGTTTGTTTGTGTTTGTGTTTGTGTTTGTGGTTGTGTTTGTGTTTGTGGTTGTGTGTGTGTGTGTTTCTGTGTGAGTGTGTGTGTGTGTGTGTGTTTGTGTGTGTGTGTGTGTGTGGTTGTTTGTGAGTCTGTGTGTCTGTGTGTCAGCATGGTGTGTTTGCGTGTTTTGGGTGGATGTGTGTGTGTGTGTGTGTGGATGTGTGTGTGTGTGGATGTGTGTGTGTGTGTGTTTGTGTGTGTGTTTGTGTGTGTGTTTTTGTGTGTGTTTTTGTGTGTGTGTGTGTTGTTGTGTGTGTTTTTGTGTGTATTTTGTAATTTTTGTGTGTGTGTGTGTGGGTGTGTGTGTATGTGAACCGTCCTGGAGCACGGACGCAAAACTTTAAGCAGCACGGGGACTGGAGCCGATTTGCCTATCCAGTCCGATGAAGCTACGGCATTTCGGTGGATACCGGATCTGATCAATCCGGCGTACCTGCCTATTTCCTGACCCTCTTTCCTGATTCCTTTTGCGGTTTCTGTTTGTCGCTGTTGCTTACTGTTCGGTGTCGATGTTGTGACCTGTTGATTTGCATTTGCATTCAAGCATTTTTACTGACTGCGTTTTTCATCTCGGCTAGTGAAGCCTCTCGAGATAAGTATGTTTACCCACGGCCTGTCCGACATGGCGCTGTGGGCTGGACTCGCCACATGCGGGAGCCCCCTGCGAGGGGAAGACCGTTCATTCGTTCAAATTCAAGCCGCAGTTCAGCGCGATTGACCATGGTCAAGGCAGCAATTTCGCAGGTGAGGTACTGCCATTCGCATTGCTTGTTGCACCTGTCGCATTGCCTGCACCTTGAGCAAGGCAGCAACCATGAGGTTTCGGCTAGGCTGCCGCATGTGCAAGGGACAGGTCGGTCAAACACCGACTTTGCAGTTCATCGGTTTACGCTCTGCACTGACTCTGATCAGTTCAATTCACTTTCACGTTCAAGCGACACCTGCATTGACGTGAGTTGGACCGACAAGGCAGCCTTTTTGAGGCACAGGTCATGTGTGAATCAGTTGCTAAATCGTGCCTGCCCATGCCGCAGTTGCCTTTTATTGTTTCCACCCCTCTCTTTCCAACCCTCGAAGATTGCAAGACTCAATTGGCCTTGCATAAGTGAGCTCGCCCCACTCGGGGCCTTGTGTGTGTGAACCGTCCTGGAGCACGGACGCAAGACTTTAAGCAGCAGGGGGACTGGAGCCGATTTGCCTATCCAGTTCAATGAAGCTACGGCATTTCGGTGGATACCGGATCTGATCAATTCGGCGTACCTGCCTATTTCCTGACCCTCTTTCCTGATTCCTTTTGCGGTTTCTGTTTGTCGCTGTTGCTTACTGTTCGGTGTCGATGTTGTGACCTGTTGATTTGCATTTGCATTCAAGCATTTTTACTGACTGCGTTTTTCATCTCGGCTAGTGAAGCCTCTCGAGATAAGTGTGTGTTTGTGTGTGTGTTTGTGTGTGTGTGTGTTTGTGTGTTTGTGTGGTTGTGCGGTTGTGTGGTTGTGTGTTTGTGTGTGTTTGTGTGTGTTTGTATGTGATTGTGTGTGTGTGTGTGTTTGTGTGTGTGTGTTTGTGTGTGTGTTTTTGTGTTTTTGTGTGTTTGTTTGTGTGTGTGTGTTTTTTTGTGTGTGTGTGTGTGTTTGTATGTGATTGTGTGTGTGTGTTTGTGTGTGTGTGTTTGTGTGTGTGTTTTTGTGTTTTTGTGTGTTTGTTTGTGTGTGTGTTTTTTTTTGTGTGTGTGTGTGTGTGTGTGTGTTTGTTTGTGTTTGTGTGTGTGGTTTGTGTGTGTGTGTGCTTGTGTTTGTTTCTGTGTATGTTTGTGCGTTTGTGTTTTTGTGTTTTGCATGTTTGTGCGCTTGCGTGCTTGCTTGTGTGCGTGTGTCTGTGTGTGCGTGTTGGTGTGTTCATTTCTTCTTGGGCTTGTGGGCTTGCGTGTTTGTGCCTTTGTGTTGTGTTGTGTGTGTGTGTGCGCGTGTGTTTGTGCTTCTGTTTGTTTGCGTTTGTGTGGTTGTTTTGTTTTGTGCGTGTGTGTTGTTTTTCTTTGTTTTGTGTTTTTGTTTGTTTGTGCTCATGTGGTTGCATGTTTGTGTGTTTGTGCGCTTGTACGCTCGTGTGTTTGTCTTGTGTGTTTATGTGTTTGTGGATTCGTTCCTTTTGTTCGTGTGTGTGTGTGTGTTTGTGTGGTTGCATGTTTGTGTGTTGTGCGTTTGTATTTTCATGTTTGCGGGTTTGTGTGTTTGCGCGTTTGTGTTTGCATGTTTGCGTGTTTGTGTGTTTGCGTGTTTGTGAATTTGCGCGTTTGTGTGTGCTTGCATTGGCGTGTGTGCGTGTGTGGTTTGTTGTTTGTTGACGTGTGTGTGTGTGTGACATGCCCTATTTCTTGCTAATGTTGAGCACGCGCACATTGAGTTCGCTCATTCGGCTGCCAATGTGAACCAGGAGTTGCCTGGTGGGGAGGAACTCTAGGTTTCCTCCCTTTGGTAACTCAGGTGATTGTGCAGCAGGGCGAGATCGGAGACACCTTCTACATCCTGGAGGAGGGTACTGCCGTCGTGACCAAGGCGAGGTTTCGTCGCACAGGAGCCCATGTAGATGGCCGTAAAGGGGACCACCCCTTCTGGTCCTTAACCCAATGCACGCCGAGGGCCAGACAAGTATCTACCCGGAAATCCTGCGACCGAGGCCAAATTGGACCTGCAGGAAAATTGAGCCACTCATTTCATGTGTTGGATCTCAGTTGGATTGGTTTGGCTTGGATTTAAGCCTCTGGCTCTGGCAAAATGGCGTGCTTTCGTGTCCCTGGTTGAGAATAAGCTAGCCCCCCCCCCCTATGTGTCTGCGTATAGCGAGCTCACCAATTCGGGGTATGGGAAAACAAGCTCAGGCATGAAGGTCTTTTTGGGGGATTCCCGGACTCTTGGTGAATCATTGTAACTTCAGGGTGTTTAGAGGGTAACCCTTCTTGACGCAGCGCGGGACTCCTTTTGCCAGGGTCCCTTTCCCCTATTTTGGGGGTGGCAAACAGGTAACTGGACGGAGGGCCTCGAGCCATTTGTTGGAGCATGGCATGGCATGTTTTGCCCTCGGTTTGGCTTCCCGCCAGATCAGGGGATACAGGGGCACTTGCTTGACCTTTGCACACTGAATAGTGGGGGTGCATTCATCAAGCGTAAACATTTGTAGAATAAGAGGGTTCATTGCCTGTTCCCTAAGAACAAGTGCGCCTTGGCCGTTTGAAAGATTCAGGACCCCGTTTTGGTCTTGAAAGGGAAACTAGAGAAAAGGAAAAGGCCTTTGTCTTTTGGCGGGGGTCCTGTTCCGTTGTTGGTGTGCCTTTTGGAGGACACCGGCTGTTGAGGAAAGCAAACCACCCCGCTCTTAGGCCTTTGACTTAAGCTGAATTCTAAGTTCTGCGCCAGACGTCAGAGAATACCAACAGGGCCTCATCTCATGTTTGCGGAAATCCTTCTCTCGTTGTTTTCCAATCTCCCCTACAAAGTGAATCAACAAGCTAAGGGTTGCTGTCCCGCCATTGTTGACACAAGCTTCCTTGTTCCCCGTCAGTGTGCCAGGATTAGGGTTTCCTCACTGTTATTGTCAGATGTTTGGTTTTTAGTGTTTTTGGGTTCTGTTCACTCATAGTGGGGGCCTGAAACCCTAAACCCTAAACCTTCAACCCAAAGCCCTAAACCCATAGCTTTTTGCAACGCCATCTCTCACTTGGCAATATTTTCCGCGCGAGGTCTACGTGGCGGGGACCCCGGCGAAGGAGGTCGAGTCGCCGAGTCGCCGAGTCGGGGGTACGTGAAAAGTGGGCTTGGCTCAAACGAAGGGATCCCACGTATTCAGGGTTGTGGGATCAAGGTGTTTCTCCCCACTTCTGTGATACAAGGGAATCCCCCTTTATATGAAGAAAATAGTCTTTGGGAAGCCCTTTCTGTTGTATCACAGAAGTGGTCATTCCCCACAGCCCTGCACGTATTTGTTTGGTGTCCCTTTGGGTTGCCTAGCCGAAAGAGGGAGTGGAACGCCGACAGAGAAGAACAACGAGAGAAGCAATAGAACAACGATCTCAGAATAGAATGGAACAACGACCCAGAATAATGGAACAACGACTCAGTAGCCGACCCCAAAAAGGATACCCTCAAAAACCACAGCAACTCTTTTCCCGCGTTGGTTTGCACCGAAACATTGGTTGATCTTGTTTGGGTGTTGGTATTTGAAAGGGTTCCAAAACAATCAAATTGTTTTTTTTTCTTCTTGGGATTTCTTTCAGAGGACAGCCCGTGTTCAGTTCTGATTGAATGAAAACCCAGGGTAAATTTCTGTATATCGGTGGTTCCCAATCATTGCGGGTATTCGTTCGGGGTAGTGAAATTCGTCGAGACAGGTGCTCCGCCTGCGACACCCATGTGTTTGCAAAGGATTTCACATGGAAACCAGGCGACTATTGTACAGGATCACATTTTTCTACAGCATCTTTCACCATAGAACAATTGATGTTGTCTTATGCGAAATGGGCAACATTCGATTTTTTGTCGCAGACCAGCTTTGAAGCAGACTCTTTTCAAGAAAACAAGAACCCCATACTGACGGACGCAACATGCACTTGCTTCCTCGTTGGCCAAACCCTGGTGATCATTTCTGGTGGTTCTACCGAGCTTATTGGCGTAGTAAGGCCTGTGTAAGTCCTTAATCTCTTCCCTAAAAAAAAGTAGCCCCCCGCCCCTCCCTAAGAAACACACTCGCCTGGGGCTGTAACCGTCTTAGTGTCAGACTTATTAGGGTCAGGCCTATATTGACCCTGCCCGGTTTATTGGGGATTCGGCCTGTAACCTTTATGACCCTTGGCGGTTCCCAGCCATGCCCCGAGGTGTTTAGTTTTGTTTTTGGGTTTAGTGTTTGGGTTTCCATTTAATTCACAAGTTTAAAACTTTGAGCAACGGAGCAGGAACCGGACACAACCCACTAAAAGTTCAAGCAAAATCAGAAACACTGTTCGCAGCTCAGACCACTTTTGTCAAAAAAATGCACGAACTTTTTGCGGAATTGCAAACGAAAAGAAAAGGCCTTTAAGAGCCCGTCTTCCCGTTTAGATCTCGGTCTCGGTGTCTCCCACCAACCGCGCCTTTCCAACGAAACGCGCCACCGGCCACCGGCCACTGGCGCCGCCGCAGGTGCTGCGGCTGCAGCACGGGGCCTACTTCGGGGAGCTGGCGCTGCTGAACAACGAGCCGAGGGCGGCCTCCGTGCACGCGGCCACGGACTGCCAGTGCTACACGTTGTCCCGGAGGACCCGAAAGCCGAACGCCGAGCGCCGAGCGCCGAGCGCCGAAGGGGGGCGAACGGGGAGAACGAGGGAATCGATTTCACTGCCGGACATATGTGTTTTGTTTTGTTTTGCCGGGGAGCTGAAGCAAACGACAAAGGGGAAAGCCGGAGAAAAGGGAAACAGAGAAAGGAAAAAGGACAAAACCCAGTTTTGGTTGGGTTTTAAAGGGAAAACCAAGTTGCAAACCGAAAGTGTGTCTCTTTTTTGGGTTGGATTCCCCTGAAATGAACTTGTCCTAGAGGACCCGGCAAAAGGAAGGGGCTTCCATTTGGCAAAAGGAAAAGGTTCTGTTCATTTTTCGTCTGCACAAAGCAGACTCCTTTTTCTCAGCCCATACCAAGAGTTGCTCCCATTTGCGTTTCAGGAGTCTTTTCCCACCGGTTGGTTTCAAAAGGAATCTATCGCTGCTGAACATATGCGTTTTTGTGTTTTTTTCCCAACAGCTGCAAGCTTTGGGGTCTCAGCCCAGATAGGCTCCGGGGTGGTCCGGGGCGGCCCTGAGGTAGGGTTCCACCAGGGTTCCACCACGGTTCCACGAGGGTTCCACGAGGTTCTGTGAGGCTTGCGGGGTGGTGCGAGCACTAAAACGAGCGTTGGGGATATCACCTGAGTTTTTTTTTCCAGGGGGCTTAAGCAAATGGAAGAGGGGAAAAGGAGAAAGCCGAAGAAAAGGAAAACAGAGAGGAAAAAAGGAAACCCCCTTGTTGGTTGGTTTTTAAGGGAAACCAAGTGGCAAACCGAAGCGTGTCCTGATTGTTCGGTTGGATTCCTTTAAAATGACCTTGTCCCGCAGAACCGAAAAGGGTATGGGTCAAAATTTGAGCCACCTCTGGGATTGGTTTAAAAGGGAACACACACCCAAAAGGGTAAAGCCGTAGCATCAGGTAATTAGCCCGTCAGATTGGTTTGGATTGGCGGATTTGGATTTGACCCCCTGATTCTTGTGGGTAAATAAAAACCCCAGACCACCAAACCACCGGGCTCCAAACCACCAAGATATGAACCTGTTGGGTTGTAGAACCGTTCCCTTAAAGAAACCTTGGACGGGTTTTCAGGAAGCCACAGGTGGACGTACACCAAGAGAGGGCCACCATTCCACTCATACAACCCGCCAAACATGGCATGGCAGCAACACCCCACAAGGCAATGAAGTTGAATGGGCAGAAGCTTCCAAATGGTTGGTGGACGTACATCCCCGCGTATTTCCGCTCTACACTGAAGAATCCCAAATACAATATCAATGATGGAGAGACAGTCCCAGGACCCGGGCGTGTCCATTTGGGTTGAACATCTGAGATTCACTAAATTTCAACTAAACCATGTCCATGTCCATCGAACTATCTCCATCAACCATCTGAAGACTCGGCGTTTTCCCCATGTCCGTCAAGCACCGAAGCACACGATTCTTCGACTGCTGAAATTTGGAGCCAGGGAGCAAGCTTACTCCCAAGTTCCTGGACGTACCTGGGAAGAGCCCTTTGAGGTGGTTTAAACAAAAAACCTTTTTCTCACCGATCCACTGAGCAAAATGAGAACAGGGGTGAGGGCCTATGAGAACGAATGAATGAAGACAATGCGTGAGCGTCTGTCTACTGGGTCTTAGCCAGATGGAGAAGGATGAGGTGAAAGTCTCCCGCTGTGTTTTGCACATGGGCTCATATTTTATAGAAGGATCGGAAAGCGAAACAGCCCAGAAATCGCTGTTGAATTATTGTTCTCGAAACGGTATGCAGACAAGGACTTGGGCAGACTGTTTGAATGAACAATCATGCTAAACTGCTGCAGTGTGTTTTGTTGCATTCAACAATTTGTTGTAGCAGGATATATTCTAACAACACGCATCCTTGGCTTAAGGATGTTGCCAGACAAAAGGGCATGAAGTCAACACAATGGACATCAGGAGGCCACAGCACGAGCATGGCCGAGGTATGATATCTGCAGTCGTGTTCTTACCCTGCCTGCAACGCGAAGAGAAAGGATCGTGTAAGTCGAACAGGGGGTTCCGGTTCCTTTAAATCAACAGTTTTTGTCCGGTCTGGGCCACTAACCTCTCAATTTATCCTGCATCAAGCCACCAATCATGAAACATGGGTGTGTCTTTTTTAAGATCGGACCCTCCCCAAAATGCTTTGGTTTTCCTTTTGGCTTCTCTTTGAAACACACACACAAAAAGGGGTGCCAAATCCAAAATGCTTCGGTTTTCATTTTGGCTTCTCTTTGAAACAAACACAAAAAGGGGTACGAAATCCAAAACAAGACGAGCCACTACGGTGACGACTTTTAAATATTTGGGGGCCGGGCCTGGGCTTCAGGGCTGGGAGGTAGTGTAAGACATCACAGGCCCTGGAGGTAGTATGAAATACCAATTAGGATATTTAAATGGCGACACCGAGACAGACCCCTTCCCCGTAAAAACAGGGCGTAAATTCAAGCCCTTGCTAGCAGCTGCGTTGCGCTAGCTCCTGCCAAGCCAGGTCAGATTGCACAGGTCCAACCTAAGGCGCCATGTCGGCGCAGACCTATGCTTGCGTAACGCCATGCTTCATAAACGCCTGGAATTGCGGAGCTAAGTGCGCTGAATCGAGCTGCCCAAGCCCTGTGTACGTGGCTCGTGGAGAGAGAAAGCAAAAAGAACATGAATGCCCCTTGTCTTGGACGGGACTCCCAGATTTCCTTGAATTCTTGAAACTCATGGCGTCTTGGGATGGGAGCTGATTTGAAATCAAATCTCAGAATGAAAAGAATTTGGAAGAAAAGAACGAGAATCAAGAGAGAGAGAGAGAGAGAGAGAGAGAGAGAGAGAGAGAGAGAGAGCGAGAGAAAGAGAGAGAGAGGGAGAGAGAGAGAGCGAATGCTTGGATCTGGCATTGGGCCCTGTGTCAGACCTGTTTCAGACCTGTTTCAGACCCCTGCAAAAGGACCATCTCCTGCCCCGAATCCGTAGCACACGCGCTGGCCCTTGCGAAGCCACACAGGTCCAACCTAAGGCGCCATGTCGGCGCAACACTAATGCTTCTAATTGCAGACCAACGCTTTCGTAATTCCATGCTACATAAATGCCTGGAATTGCGGAGCTAAGTGCGCTGAATTGAGCTGCCTAAGCCCTGTCTACGTGGCTCGTGGAGACAGAAAGCAAGAAGGACATGAATGCCCCTTGTCTCGGACGGGACTTCCAGATTTGCTTGAGTTCTTGAAACTCCTGGCGTCTGGGGATGGGACTTGTTTTTTAACAAATCTCAGAATGAAAAGGATTGGAAGAAAAGAACGAGAATCAAGAGAGAGAGAGAGAGAGAGAGAGAGAGAGAGAGAGAGAGAGAGAGCGAGAGAAAGAGAGAGAGAGGGAGAGAGAGAGAGCGAATGCTTGGATCTGGCATTGGGCCCTGTGTCAGACCTGTTTCAGACCTGTTTCAGACCCCTGCAAAAGGACCATCTCCTGCCCCGAATCCGTAGCACACGCGCTGGCCCTTGCGAAGCCACACAGGTCCAACCTAAGGCGCCATGTCGGCGCAACACTAATGCTTCTAATTGCAGACCAACGCTTTCGTAATTCCATGCAACATAAATGCCTGGAATTGCGGAGCTAAGTGCGCTGAATTGAGCTGCCTAAGCCTTGTCTACATGGCTCGTGGAGACAGAAAGCAAGAAGGACATGAATGCCCCTTGTCTCGGACGGGACTCCCAGATTTGCTTGAATTCGTGAATCTCCTGGTTTCTTGGGATGGGGCCTGTTTGTTTAACAAATCCCACAACAACCGACTGGTTGCGGAAGAGGTAATTGGCAACAAACAGCAAGCAAATTGACAAGGCGGGCCGGGCCAGAGGCAGGCTTTCAAGACGTAACGCAAGATACCTATCTAAATCGGATATTTAAGTTGGTCGGCCGGGCTGGCGGTAACGCTGGCGGAGGTAGTGTAAAATCTTTGTTGACCTACTTAAGTGTCCGGGTGTTTAAGTGGCGACACCCTAGGGCCTGAAAATCCGCTAGGCTCCCATTGGCCTTCGAAGAGCTTGACCACGGCACTACGGTTCAAAGGCGAAAGGCATGCGTCCAATATTGGGGTTGAGCAACATTCCCTTCGGGTCCCGAATGACCATGGGTAACTTTTCCCATGTGGGAAGTATTAAATCTTTTCCTCGTGGTTTTCCCCAATGGTCATCCCATATTCATCGGACCTTTTGATCAACCGCCATGTAGTATGAACCCATGCAAATCCAATGCTGAAATCGCTACAGGCCAATTAGCAGAAGCCTCTGAGCCTTATCTTGCACTGTTGCGAAGAAATGCGTCGAAGCAGGAACAGACCCTCGAAGATTTCGTACGAGCCTTATCTTGCACGGTTGCGAAGAAATGCGTCGAACCAGGAGCAAACCCTTACAGATTTCTAAATTTCTAAGCACGTAGCATGTTCTGTAAGGGATCCCAAGGGTTGTAAAGGCCATTTTAGAAATCTGTACGGAACAGACCCTACAGACCCTTACAGTTTCAGGCTTGTTTCGCCATGTTCCGCGAGGGATCCCAAGGCCCGGTTTTCCTCTTGGCGTACCACTCCAGCGCTCAACTTCCGTCTGGCTAGGGGGTAGGGTTTGCCTTTTTGACCCGAAATTTTCTGGGGGGAACGTGCAAACCTAAGGGACTCATTCAAAGAGGCGTTGCGTGTTTGTCATCTACCGTGTTTTTGTCTGTTTTTTCTTCTTTTCTTTTTCCAACAGGGAGTTTGTTTACGGTGTATACTTCGTTGTTTGTCGTTCATGTTTTTCAAAAGCAGACACAACACCTGAAATCGCCAGCAGCAGTGAAACAGTTGTGTTTTTTTGCGTTGTTTATTTCAAACACCAACAACAGTTGCAACGCCAACAATATTTTGTGAAACAGCCGTATTTCATTTTGTATTATGTTTTTTTTTTTTTAGGGCCAACAGTTGCAACGGAAGGGCCACGGAAGGGTTACCCATTCGAGCGCTTCAGCTCCGCTCGTGGCTCGCGAGCGCGCTCGCTCGTTCGAGGACCTTCAACCGGCTGCTGGGGCCTTTGCAGGAGATCCTCCAACGCAACGCCAGGGAGTACCACTGACCGGGCCGCCGCGCATTGGCGTTTTAGGCGAGCGACACCCGAACAACTGGGCTCCTGAAAAGATAGATCTCCATGTTGCATGCCCATCCATTTGAAACATGTGGCTTCTTCTTTTTTTGGTCCACCAAAATAAAGGTGGACACCACCAGGTACAAGTGGCAATGTTCAGGTGTTTTTCATGTAAGGATCCCTGCCGAACCACCTTTGGGGGGAGAATGCAGGGAGAACGCTCAGATGATAAGCCTTAAGCCGGGTGTCCCAACTTCGGAAGCCATGAATTGGCCTCCGAAGGTCAAGATGCTCACTTCTGAGGCTTTTGGGACATGTATCTCCCGAAAGCACTCAAATGTGATTCAGACCTTTTTGCTGAGCCGGAGTCGGAAAGAAGAACCGAAGTCGGACAGCTTTGGCACAGCTTTGGCCATTCGTTCACATCCTTTGAAGGCAGAGATCTACGTCGCAAATGGTCCAAAGGTGCGGTAACCCAAAACGGATTGCGGTTTTCCAACGTGATTCCCTTTCAAGGTTTCAATTGAAAAGGGAGAGGTATTTGTTTAAAGTTCTTTTCTTCTCCGTTTGTTTTTTGGTGGGGGGGAATTTCCGCACCCATTGAAAAGGCCACCCTCCAAAGAATCAACACGAGAGCACGCCCATTGCCCATTTGGACCATCCAACTCTCTGCAACTGCTGAGCCACGTGGAAAAGCGGCAAACGGTTGCGGGGCCGGGCGGAAGGAATGTTCCAAGAGCCAGAATCTGCAGAGAAACCAAATGGAAGTTGTTTGGGAACGCGTTTGGTGGCTCAAACCTGCCGTAAATTCGAGCCGCCCGAAAGTTCTATTTGACCCAGTCTTTTTCGGGGACCCATAAATGGTGGCTTTCCTGTTGTCCCGTTTAAACCACACGAAAAGGCGCAAGATAGCCTCCAGCTCTTTGGTTGCCCGGAAAATCCGACCTTCCATGGCGCATCGGCCGGCCTCGGCGAGGTTTTGGGTGTGGGGCCAAGAGGAGGGCGAGCAGAAGTGCTGGCGCCGGCCTTGATGCACCTTAGACGGATGGTGGAGAAATCCCTTCGCGCGGAATGAATCCATGGGAAGGAAACCGAAGGTTTACTGGTATTGAAAAGGGGAATCGAATCATTCCAGGGATCTTGGGCGCAAGACCTTGTTCAACTTGAAGGAAGCGCCGAAAACAGCAAAGAAGACGGCATAGAAGCATCCAATATCCCATCATGTCCCTCTCTCTTGCCTTAGGGAGTTCTCAGTCAGCGAAGATGCCCTCGTCGGGTGCTTTGTGTTGCCCGAACGTCGCACCAAGAGTAGCCAAGCGAAAGCCACAATCAACCTTGGTTGTTTAAACCACCAAGCTCTGAAAAACAACACCGTACAGTGTAGAGAAGGGGGCACATTGTGTCAGCTCAAAGCGAGGTATGAGAGCCTACATTTGGACCCTACTATAACAACATATGGGATCGTATGGGTGTGTGTGTGTGTGCGTGGTTTTTGAGGGTACCCCCTATTTGGCTGGTTCCAAGGCGGGAAACCAAAAGGAAAACCCACCTCCTCTTGGGGGGACCAAGAAAAAGGCGGGCGTGTCCTGTTTGAGGTTGGACCCTCATAAACTGTTTTTGTTGTTTGGTTTCCCGAATCAACACCAACCAGAAGGGTTCCCCCCCAAAAAACCAAATGCCCACGCCCGGGCAGAGTTTGGGTCAAGATGTCGAGCTTCGTGCACAGCGGCTTCGGGACCCCTCGACCGGTTCTCGCCAAAACCACCAGCACCGAAAAAGTCGCGTGCTCGAGTTCTGAGCTCCTGTGGCTTGATCTTATGATTCTGGGTGAACTATAAGGACCTCACATGACCTCACTCCAAATGGTGAATTAATTTTGTGCGGAATGCCCCCCAACCACCTTATTTCAGGTTGGTGAAGTATTGTAATTCACCCAGTTATGACCTTATGCGTGTTCTTAATTATTCCCATCAAGTGACTATTATTCGTGCGGTTTTGGCCGTTCTTCTTATTTGTTCTACAATTTATTACTCGTCGTGTCTTGTTTGATATTCTTGTCATGAGTACCTTTGCTCTTTCAACTTGAATTCGCGCTGGGCCTAGGTTCAGACTGGGCGACGACGGCCGGGAGGCAGGTGAAGGCGCGCTTTCGACCGCAACGTTTCTGACGTTTTGGTCTCCCATTTTCGAGCGGGCAGACGAAATATGTGTCCGTCTTTTTTGGGGGGAGCTTGTGGATTTCATCTGTCCTCTTAGTTGCCCTAAGCCAACAGAAAACGAGTACCCTCAAAAAGGATTAAAGATATGTTTGTTTTCAACGGGAGCCCCCCAAATGGATTCCGTTTCTCCTCTTAGTTTCCCTAAGCCAGCAAAAATGAGTACCAACTCGGACAAGACAGACATAATATGCATACTGTGGATGGACGAAATCCGTTTCGCACCACTTTGAAACCATGGTTACAAGCCATTGTTCGTTGCTATTTACAGGAAAAACAAAATTCCAGGGTGTCTTAGGTGGTGTATGAAACCACATCTGCCTTTTCAGTTCCCATGGCCCAGGAAGATCCATTCAAGTCGCGGGAAGTGGTGGTAGCTTCCATGGGGTTTGCATCCCAAAGCAAAACAAAGCGGCGCGAGGGTGTTCCCGGTTTTTCAAGTTACCTTCAAAACCCGCCACTTTTTTGGGTGCCCGCACAAAAAGGACGAACCCATTCTGACGGGCGTCTGGAAATTGGATGAATTTGTTCAACTTCAGGTGTGCCCTTTGAGTTAGATCGCCCAGTTTTGAGAGAAGCTTCCGTTTGTGGTGATGCTTAACCCGGGTGTCCTCTTCCAAGGTAGACGAAACATATTGGCACACATCTAAAGAACATGTTTTGGAATGATGCCAGGGCAGAATCTTGCACACCTATGCCAAAAAGTGGCTGGACCCAGCACCCAGAGCCCAGGCTGGATCAGCGGCACCAGAGCTTGCCACCCCCCGGAGCAGAAGGCGCGGGTACCTGCCTCCAACAACCCCAGAAAAACAGCATGGGTACCAACTGAGAAGCAAGGAACCGAGCTGGTGGAGGGTGTTGTTCCGTGGCGAGCCGTCCCACTAAGACGTAGCAGCACCCCACTGGGACTTGGGCCACACAAAAAGCGCGAAAGTTAATCATGTTGGCATCATAAAGGCTTCGGAAAATTGATGACTATCTGGATTATTATCCCATCAGAAATGTCTTTGAGAGGAAGGAAAACATGAAATCAGTCGGGAAGTCCGGCAAAGCTGGTGGTTGTACATATGTCATGGGTCACTTCTTTGGATGGTTTCTGGCAAGATGCATTTTCCACCATGCTGTCGATTGGATGGTTCTCCACTTAGGATTTGTCTCACAACTTTTTGCGGGTTCCTACTGAGAATGTCGGGAGCATCGCCCGCATGTTCCTCATGGCGGAAACTGCCGGGCCATACCACGGGTTTTGGGTCATCCAGAATGCCCTTGCGGAGCTCATATGGGGGTGTTGTGGTTTTGTTGTTTTTTTGGGTTGGGGGGGGGGGCACGTGGTTTTTCTTAGGTTTCCCTTTAAAAAAAAAAACGCCAAAAAGGGTACCAACTCCAAGCAGACACGCCTGTACGGTGCTTTGCGATTCATGAGAATCAACAACATCACAGAGTTTCATGCATAGGCGTGCTTCAATGGTCTGGTTGCAAACAATTGGGATATCCACTGGTTGGCGTTTGGCTGGATGTTTATTTGCCAGTGAAATTCCCCCCGATGACTTATTTTGAAGACTTTGTCAGTAGACAGGAATGTGTGGTCCTGGGACACGTGATTCCGGTTTACTCACCTTCAAATGAATGCAAAAAGCTCAACAAAAGATTCCCCCCAAAAGAAAGTCCCTTGAACATCAGATCAGGTTGAAGGCTTGAAGCTGGCTGTTCTCAACGCATGGTCAATTTGGGGTCCCGGACTTCAACGCGCACATATGGCGAACATCCACTTTCGACATGGGCATCCTCTTGAACGAATTGTTGACTCCCCCTCGTTTCTTTCGCCCACCCTTCTGCTCAGAAACAGCTGAGGTGCTGATTCGCCCCCGACGCCCCAATGTTTCTCATGTTCCGTGTGGAAAGGGGGCCTTCTTGCAGGGAAAGAACATGAAGATAGCAACACCTGTATGGCAGAGGCGGGGATTTCCATTTTCCTCGACCCCCAACCCAGTCACATGGCAAGTCAGGTCCTTCTTTGGTGGTTTGGGTTGGCTTGGACATTTGAACCCCTTCTTGAAGGGCGTAAACGGGAAACTATCCCTCAACCACCGATTCGGCTCGGAACTTGAAGCGTTCTAATGTTGACCCCAGATTAGTAAAGTTATTTGTATTAGTATGGGGGTGTCCAATTCTGGTTTTCGTGGGGATTCAGGCCACTTTTGGAGCGGCTAAAAACCACCCCCAAGATGAATAAACAGTTGCATAATAGGCGGCATCCTGTTTGGTTGATTTGGTTGAGAAATAGACGATTCCTGGTTTACCTGGTGGTGCAATCAACTACCAGGGCAACCCATCCATGTTCAACCCAAACATTTTGGACACCTATGAACAGGGGGGGGTGTCTTCTTCAGGGTAGGGGGGGGTTTCTCCCTGAGGCCATTGTCATGGGCAACTTCGACTGCTGGATCGATGGCCCGCGCCTTTGGGCGCGGCTTTGGGATCGTGGGGGATGCCGCCTCGAAGACCTAAACCGGGAGCGATTGGGAAAGGGGAAGGAGGGGACCCATGCGAGGGGGGGGGGGGGGCAAGCAGGGGGCCCTATGTTTCCAATGTTGGCGATTCTAAACATCACCTTTTTGGCCCTTGAAAGGTGAGTGTCCCTCGGTGGGGGTGATGTTTTAAGGGGAAATGTAGGGAGCCGTGACAAAAACATGAAGAGAGCTTCCTCGAAGGATGAAAATTGCGAGTTGGCAAGTTTCTCTGGAGCCTTTCTCTGGAGAGTATCCTTGCAGTTTAAGCCATGGTTTAAGGCCAACATGTCTGAAAGCCCTTCTTTTTTTTGGTTTTTCATTGAGGGCCCTTTGCTTGGTTCGAACACATTTTGCCAAGGGGTCAGACGGAGAGGAGACACAGTTGCTCGCTCCGTGCCAGTTGGCTCGCTCTTTGGTCCCGCGGATTTTTTTTGGGATCAAAGATGAAGTCAACTCATGGTGCCGCTTCACTGTTGGATCAGGTTTTGCAGGTGTTGTTCTTTGTTTTCGAGTATGTGTTTTGGTTCGGGTCATCTTAAGTGGGGGGGGGGGGCGGGGGGAAAGGGGGTGGGTGGGGGGCTGCAAAAGAGAACAACGTTGCTCGCTACCAAGGGGTTTACAGGCCATGTTTGGCTTTTTCCACCCGAGCTGGTGCATTTGGGGGTATCGAAATTCCCGAGGCTTGTGGAAAGCCCCTGGACTTGGAAAGTCGGGTACTTCAGACCAAGTCATGAAGCGGTTCGGGAAATGATGCTGTGGACGACATCCATTTCGCTCGGAGACCCTGGAAGGATTCGATGGCCCTGTAAATACCAACAAACCATGCAAAAACCCCATGGTGTCCAAGTGGTGCAGGACTTTGTCCATCTACAGTAGGGAATCTCATGAGTTCTGCCTTTCTTCGGCGCTCAGTGGGACTCTTTCACCTCTTTTTTGTTCCGAGCACAACAACTTTTGTGCCGATCGAATGGGGGCTTCTGGACACCTGCAAGTTTTTTTTTTTTTTTTAAACCTAAAATCAAGAGGTCGGCGTGGAGACTCCAGGTGGCAATTCAGCTTCCTCTCACGCCCTGGGTTCATGGATTATTTTGGGGGCAGCAAGTCCGGACTTTGTTTGGCCAATCCACTCACGAAGTGAGGATTACACTTGAATGCAGATGGCACAATCTCGAGATGCTGGTTTAGTCCTCCCTTCTTCCCCACAATGGAATGGCGCTACTTTCATCACCTGCCGGTAAAGCAATGGCCAATTCGGGTGTTTCCCATGTCTAAACCCGAAGCTGGTGAGTTCCCTTCTTTCATTTGATGTACGAGCCCCAACCCGTGGCATCTGTGGAAGAACCAGCCTGGCGTGAGCCCGGCCCAGGCTTCAACTACGACACCTGCTGCGACCCGAAGTTCGGGCCGAGTGGCAATGCGCAGTGCCGATCGCTGAGCTCTGCCTCTTTCTTTTTCGGGCACTGGTACCGGGAAGCACAACAACACTTTTGGGGCGCCGCAAAGATGAGGGCGACGGTGCCCCAAAAGTTTGTGGCGCATGAAGGAGGAGACAAAAGGTGGCACTGTGGCACTCTCCGGGGAAACATGAGCAAACTGGGCGCTTCGCTCGCGATTCTTTTGGGGACGACGGTTTTTTCACCAGTTCCATGCCCGGACGCCCGAGAGAAGCCACAGGAAGGATAGGGGTGGCTTGCGTGGTCTTTCTTTTTCAGTTGGACCCCCCCATTTTGGTTGTGGTGTCCCTTTGGTTTCCCGTTAAAGCCAACATACGATTTCCCCTGAAGGCGAGTTACGCATATGAGGTTAGGGGGAAACTGTCTTTTGGTTGGTGTTTTTAACGGAAACCAAGAAAAAACAATAAAAGGACCCCCCCAATAAAGATATTTCATGGTGTCCCTTTTGTTTCCCTTGAACACAACCAACCAAAAGACGGTTCCAAAAAAAGCCGTCAGTCACTTTTTGTTTGCAAGAACTCAGCATTTATGATTTGCCACCCAGAGCATCCAAACACATGCCAAAAGCACGTGGAAAACGACCGGGTTCTAGCAGCTTCACTGCTCTTGGAGCATGTTTTTAGGCTTTTTTATTTGTTAGTTCTGTTCATTTGAAGTGGGCTGCAAAAAAGCAGTCAGTCTTTTGCAAGCCCATACCAAGGGTTGGACAGTCCCCAGAAAGGCTCTGAAGCTTAGGTGTGGCCACCGCGCAAACCGGGCTCCCCAAAAAAGGACACATACCTCCATTTGCTAAAATGAAGATTCGTTATTTCCCCGTGTTGTTTTTGAACGTAATTTATCACTATTCCTGATTTTTTCCAGGGGTCTTACCCAAATGGAAGCAAACCTCCGATCTTGGACTGCTTTGGTCTTCTCGGGCGGACCCGGGTCATTTGGGCCAGCGCGCTCGGCACGGCGCCGTGCCGAGGTTGGGATGGAGTCTTCAACTATGACAGATGTTGCTTTCCAAAGGACGGTCCCGAAGAGGAAGACGAGAATCCTCGTTGCTTTGAACGACCAGCTGGGTGTGTCCAAAGTTTCGGGAAGTTTGGGGTAAATGTTGGGTGAGTTTTCCGTTTGCACGAAAAAGAAGACACGCCCATGCGTGAGGATGAACACAAATCAATATTCGCTGTCATGAATTGAGGTGCAAAGAGAGTGACATGGAGTACACTCGCCGAATCAGAAGATATAGTTGTCATGCCATAGGTCGCATTTGCCTGATCGCGACTCATGTGATTCGCCGTGAATGGGTCCCGACTGCGCACAGTGCGTGCCAGGAGGAGCTGTAAGTGAGCAGCTTGGCCACTTGTTTCACCAGCTCACATGGAGCAGCAGTATGGATCCTACCCCCTCAAAGACCGCCCCCCGGGGTAGCGTGGCTCAAGATGAAAGAGCCAGGGTTGCACAGGTTTTAGTCTTCGGTTCCATTTATCAAGGTGCCATTTTGGTACATTTGTTTGAGCCAAGTACAAACAATAAGGACGAGCAAGGCCTAAGACCTTTCCACTTTTGGTAGTCTCTGTGGGGGGTAGTCTGGGTTGGACATAGCAAAGACAAACGCGTGCAATCCCTGGCGGGAGCAAAGGCAGCCGCATTTGCCTGGTGACGTGAATATTGGAATGCCTGGTCTGCCTTTGGTGTTCTTTTGAAGCCATCCAAGAGAGGATTCCCAGTGTTGTGATGTGCAAATATGTACACATACAATATATATATATGAACGTATATATGTATACATATACCTTACATGCACTACATGTGTAACAATACATATATATATATATACACATACTACTATGCATTTCGAATAGATTCTTGGCCTGTACGAGTTTCCTTTGGTTGCAAGGTTTCCAGGCTGTGGCCCAAAAATATTTTCTCCATGGGCGCTATCTCAATCAGTGTCAGCCCCCTAAACCGGGGGACGTGAAGCCCTTCTTAGCAGGTATACAGGGGGAACCAGCACAGGAGGATTCCGATTCCCGTTTGCACCTTGACGAAGTAACTGAAAAATGGGAAATGGTTTTCGCCAAGTTGGAATCCCCCCATATCGGGACCCGCCCCCTCCGTATCCCCGCGGAAGTTTGTTTGTCCAATTCTTGTAGACTAGTAGGTAACCAGAATAAAAACAAGAAGAAGCAACACGTCCCATGTTTTTTTTTTGTTTTTTTTTTTAATCTGGGCAGGCCTGTAGCGGCGAAACCCCTGGGAGCACTAGGGACCAAACCTCCAATCCAAGCCATTGGAAAGAAGCTTTTGGTGTCGCAGGCTCAGAGTGACGCAAGCAGAAGGCTCCGATCTCCGATGGTTTCAGCGACCTCTGCCAGCCACAAGAAGCCCGGTACAGCATGCACCAGATACAGAAGTGACAACTTGGTGTTTGGAGAGCAAAGGGAGAAATGCCGGTGACCGGGAAGCGAACAAAAATGAAAATTAGGGCCTCTCAGCCAATTTCGTCGGGCCATGATGTAATAGGGCGAAGCGAACAAAGATGGTACACAAGCTTCTCCGCATCTCAGCCAGCACTGGCCACATACAGAGGCAAGTTCAACCAAAGTGGAAGGCTGAAAGAATGCCAAGTTGCTTTACGTGTTTTGCTTAGCCCAAGGTGCCTCAGGTATACCAAGTCCCTATCTCAGCTTTCCATCCGTGCCATGGAGCCGAGGACGGCCGGGAGCGTGGGAGAGCTCGCGCTTCTCTTTCCCCGGGCTCCCGGAAAAGGCGTCCCTAAAAAAGCAGAAGGCGGAAGACGGCCGTGGGGCCGTCGCGTTTTTTTGTGTGGGGGGGGTGGGGAGTTGTAGACAAGAAGGGGCCCCCCCCTAATTTTTGTTGGTGTTTGTGGCTTTGACACTACCCTGTTTGGCTGGTTTTGGCCCAACCAGAAGAAAGATCAACATTTTGGGGGTCTCCCTATTTTGACACCCGAATGGTTCCGCCCTCCTTCGTTGGCAATCTGCAGGACAGCGCGTCGCTGAGGCGGGAAGTGCTTGGTGCAAAAGGTGGGCTTCTTTTCGCGGGGGGTGTTTGTTTTTTCGACCGTTTTTGGCCTATGAAGCAAAAGGTAATATTTGGGCCCCAAAGTAAGTTGGCGTTGGCGCTTGCATGCGGTCCAATTCGCATCGTTTGGAACCCACTGCGCTATGATCTTCGATCATTCTGAAATTGGCCTGTGTCAATGTCAAACAAGGATTGCTTGCAACTGGATTGCTTTGGTGCCGTTTGTAGGTGATTCTGCCTGCTTTGCCTGGGCTTATAGTCATAGTAAAGCCTATATAAACCTTTACAACCATCTCTGTAGAACCAAAAGTCAATGGGTTTTGGCCCCAGCTCAACTGGCCCTTGGGTGCCTTGCCCAGGATGGAAGTGTCCACCTTGCAACTTGCCGATGTTCAGCTTCCAGCAAGGGGGCGGGCAGAGCGAGGACCCAGTCTTTCCCTCTCCGGGGTGATAACATGGTTTTTAGTCGGTGAAATGCGGTTGGGTGTGCATTTTTTGTTTTTAAATCACAGGTTCAATTTGCTTTGAGCAGATCAGAAAAGGGACAGCCCAGAGAAAATGGGGCGTAGGTGTAGGATCCTGAGCAAGTGTTCAGCTCGGGGTAAACAACTCCGAGCGAAACCCGCGGGTGCTCGGGGATTCCTTCTTTCCGGAGATGCAACAAAATCTTGGTGGCTCCCAGCCATGCCCTTAGCTTTTTATATAGGGTTTAGCGGGGATTTCCATTTCGATACCGCACGGATCCTCCAACCCCTTGGTGCTTGGCACGGAAAGGATCCGCATTTCGAGGATCCGAACCTTCACGGAGAAACTTCCATCAATTTCTGGGTGGAGAATGGGGCACTCCTTGGGAGTTGGTTTTTGGGGCTGGTTTTACAAGGATCCGTGAATGGAACCTGCGAAAGCGCTTTCGGGCTTTTGTAGGCATATGAGTGAGCCACCTGCAGCTTGCCTCTTGTGTTGCTTCGGCTGCATCTGAGGCCTCACAAGTCGCAGCTGCAGCGTCTGCGGGAGATACAGAGCAAGCACACTGCGAGCCCGCCGCAGACGTTGCAGCCGCAGACGTCGCAGCCGCAAACGTTCAAGACGTTGCCGCCGCAGACCTTCAAGACGTTGCAGCCACAGACATTCTCACAGCCGTTGCAGTCGCGGTTGCAGCCTCGGCCGTTGCAAACGTTGCAGACGCAATTGCAGAGCAGCCGATTTCAAGTCTGGGTCCCCAGTGAGCTTGCGAGTTCTGCGAGCTCCATCACCCGAACCACTTCCGCCCCACTGGTGGTACCTGCGTCGCCGGCTTCGCAGCCCCAGACTCTCTCGCAGCCGGTGTCGCCGCAGTCCGCACAACCCCAGACGGCGGGGCACGTGGCAGAGCGCTTGAGGCGGGTCTATTTCTTGTTTGAAGGGGATTGCTACATGGCCCCTCAAAGTAGGTGCACCTGAAGGGACCCGCAAAACATGAAACAACAAGACTAAAAAGGGCGAGACCAAATCTGAAGACTAAGTATGTATGTTAATGTGTTTGTGTAGAATTTGGTGTATGGCTTAAGCTTGAGGTTTTCGGGTGGTAGCTGGTGCAGGCCAGGTGTAAGGCTCAAGGAAGGTTCCGGAGGTTGGGTGTTCCGGCAAGGTTCCGGAGGTTGTGGGACAGGTGCAAGGTTCAAGCAACATTTCGGGCTGTGTAATTAGTGTCAAAGGTGAAGTTCCGCTCTCAGGTTTGAGGTTCTGGAGCAAGAGGCTTTGGATGGTTTGGGGTACCAGGGTAGCCCGGCACGGCTCTGAGTTCCGCAAAGTTCCGCGAGGGCTCTCGGGTGGTCAGTCACAGGGTTGTGAGGTAAGGTTTCGCAGGAGCGCAGCATGCTATTGGGGGTATCGCCTGAGCTTATTCCTAAAGCAAAATACGGGATGGGGGGGCATTTTGGCATGTTCCTTTTGTTGACCCCTAATGACTGATGAATAAGGCAAGGAGTCCGACTAAAGCAGGAACCGGGTCTGTTGCTTCTTGTTTCGCCTGAAAGTATTAACATGTATCCCAACTCCATGTTTCTCAAAGGCGCTGCAGATGTGCGTCTCAAAATAGAGAAGCCCCGAAATGGGAAGTTTCCTAGAAACCAAGTTGCGTTTTTTACAATTTGTCGGATGACACACTGCCATGTCGCACGGGTGAGCACGGCGGGTCTGGCAGGGGTCCATGTATGTTCTTGGGTCTCAAATATCAAGTATCACCATTTGGGTCAACGTAACTGGGGTCATTATTTTGACTGTTTCCGGGTTGTCAAAGTCAGTAAGTTGTTTCCCCTTAAGCTCTCTCTTTGGAGGTGTCATTTTGCTGAGAAAATAGAAAGGCCAGCTCGGGGTCAGTTCTCTCAGGGTGATGTTTGATCTCCAAACTCCATGGAAAGCTCCCGAAGGTCGAAACGCCTTGCGCCCGCGGCGTGTTGGGACACGGCGCGCGGCCTTCGGAGCGGGTTGGTTCTTATATGTTTTTTCGCCCCAAGGGCCTAAGGGAGCTGAGTTCTACGGGTTTTTGTATTGCACCCAGGGAATACCCACTGTCCAGTCACTGGGTATTGACTCCATTTAGGCCCATTTCCGGATAAAACCGTGAAAATTTGAGCCATTCTGGGTCATTTCCCAAGGGTGTAATGCCAGGGTGTAATCCAAAAACCCTCGCGTGCAAGTTAAACTTGTAGGGGATCTGAAGACAGCCCGGGTTTTCGACCATCGCTGAACAAAGGATGAACGTTCGCCGTCGAAAGGAAATCCTCTCCCCGAAAGTGCTGAAAACCTCTCAACGTGTAAGCACTTCAGAAAAGGAACCCCCCTCTAAATGGGATATGGAATCCCCAAAACCTCTGGGGTGATTCCCTGGCTTTCCCATCAAACAGCCGCAAGGGTGGCCTTGACACGTCCAGGAAGACGCTTGTCCCACCCCTCAACGGGTTTGATTCACGCTGCATGAGTGTCTTTTTGGGCGGGACCGCCCCACCCCAAAAAACAAGATTCTGTTGCGTTCCCGTAAGCTACCAACCCAACAAGGGCTACAGGGGTAGCCTCCCAAAAAATCCACGTGGCAGACGCCACATGAGTCCGCAGGCAGCTGAAGAGCGACCTGCAGCTGGCGCAGCGATGTCAGTTGCAGCTGCCCAGCGCGCTGAACCGCCGCCTGCGGCGCCTGAAGTCGCTGTCCAGTTTTTTGGACCTGAAGTCAGCGGGTGGTCGCGGGTGGATGGGTCTTCCCCGTTTTTTGGTTTTTTTTTTTTGGGGGGGGGGGTTAAACAAAAAAGTCGTTGGTGCATGGTGCTTGGATGGTAGGACTTTAACTTGTTGCCAACTAATGGGTTTTCCATTAAAGCATGAACAGTTAAACTTTTAGAGGGGAGCAGAAAGCAACCGAGCTTTGAGGCGAACGCATGTCGGCTTGTTTCAGTTGCGGGACAACTAAGGTTGTTTGACTCTTCTTGGATCATGTATTATTTTCAGGTTTTAGGTTTGTATCTTGGTTCTGTCAACAGTTTTAGTGGGTTGCAGGCGGCTGCGTGTGCAACAGGGGGACCGACGTTGACTTGGTTGCCAGCGAATCGTGCGGTTCCAGAAAGGTCCTTAGCTGTTTTTAGTTGGTGAACGGCGTTGGGTTTCCATTTAGAACACAAGAATTGAACATTTAGCAACCCCATATTAGTACACCCACGCAGGTATTAATCAGGTGGGTCCCTTTTTAGTGGGGGTTCCTTTCTTCCAAGGGACCTTAACGTCGAATCAAGGCTGTTGCCTATGATCAAGGTTGACGCTTGGTACCCCTTTTGGTGATTTAAAAGGGACACCACAAGGACAACCACATGTTTGGGCGTCCCCGAAACATTGATACTGCCAAGTGTAGGATTTGTTCTTATCAGTGTCACGGATGTGTCACATGAGGTTAAATCTGAGCCTAGGTTTGACCCGTTGTTTGTCTCAGTCCAAGGCGAGTCGACCTGGAAGCTTTTGGGTGTGTTTCTGGCCCGTGAGGAGCCACGTCCTTAAAACGGTAAGTGACAGTCCCAACCAGAAATGGGTGCCGCGTTGGTAACTTTTTGGTCTTGGGTTCACCATTTCCGTACAGATCAGTTTGGATTATGACTGACATTGCGCAGGAAACATCGGGGCGGACCCACCCTCAAGAGCATCCGACGGCCTCGTATCCGACAGGAACCCATTGTCGAGGGTTTTATGTGTTCCCTGTGTGATTCCCGGTGGTTTCCTGGCGACGGGTGTTTTTTGGTTCCGGGTTTTCCGGGCAGTTCTTTCCAGGTTTCGTTCCCAGCTCAGCAGTGGTGCTCTCTTCTTGGTGGTTTTCAGCCATCCCCTTAGGTTGTTAAAGGTTTTTATGGTTTAGAGGGAGTTTCCATTTCCCAGTTGCCCAGTGGTGCCCTTCTTTCTCTTTTGGGAAGGGTTCTTTTTCAAAGTCAACCGAAAAAGGATGCCTGTTGTTCCGCTGGCCACTGGGCATCTGAGATTTCTCCCACAAGTTAAACCTTCAGCAGGGAAAACAAAAACAGCCCAGAGATTTGTCCCCTGCCGGTTGGCCAAGGGGCGGCCCCCCTTCCCATGGAACCCACGCTTTAGGTTTCCCAGTCCGGTTGTTTTGGAGACCCAACCGGTTGGGACGACCATCTCATTTTCACGAAAGGGAAACTTCATGGTTCTTGGTGTCATGTCTTTCGGTTTTAAGAATCGATTCTTGGTTCTGTTCGTTTTCGTGGGCTGCAAAAAAAACACGCCAGTTTCTTGAATTAGGTTTTTTCGTTTCGAGTTTGTTCTGTTCATTTTGGCGGGCTGCAAAAAAAAACCGGCTGGTTCGCCCGTGCCCAGGGTGGGGCACCATTGCGAGAAAGGATTCTCTTCCCTCGCCTTAGATTGTCCTATTCGGAGCGCCAGGAAGCCGCAGAAAGGGAGACAAATCCACTCGACAAACCTACCGCGAGACGCGGGAAATTGTTATCCAGCCCTCTTTTGGTGCATTTTGCTTGGATGTTAGGACTTTAACTTTTTGCCAACTAACAGGGCTTCGCAGAAAGCAACCGAGCCTCGCTGTTCATGTGGGTGTGCCGTTTTTAAGGTTGGACTCGACGCCGGACCCGGACTGGGGCAAAACCGACCAGAGGTCCGCAAACACTCTAACCCCAGTCCCTTCTTTGGAAGTGTTCCCCTTTCGACTCCAACGAGCTGCAGTTTTTCTCGAATTCTCGAGATCCCCAGGCCTGAACTGGCGGACGAGTCTTCCGTCTCCGGTGGTGTCTTCCCATGCGCCGGTCAGTGAAAGGAACTCCAACTCCCTGCAGCTGGCTTTGGAGCGCGAGGCGGGCGCGGGCATGTGATGTGTGTCTTTTCGTGGGCGGCTTGCTTCAGGGAAACTGTTTGGGGGGCATAGGCTGAACGCGTTTTCAAGAGGACAAAACCAAGGAGGTGGGAATTCAGGCGAGTCATGTCAAGCAATCACGTCCCCTTCTTGGGCGGGGGTTTTTAGTAAATGTTGCAGACATATTGATGACAAGATCCATACCAGTCTCCAGTTGGGGAGATGAATTTGCCCGAGATCCATTGAAGTAAAGATCTGGCTGAAGCACTACTGCTTTCGTATGTCTTTCCGTGGTAGGAAACATGTAATTGACCACGCAGATAATCATGCCTGAAGGGTCAGGGTGCGTGGGAAGCGTTTAGTTAGCATGGTGTTCAGCGTATTATGACTATTACTCACCACTTGCGAAGTACCCTTGCCCGTGTGTGTCGTTTCATCGTAGGGAATGGTTGGAACAACACGTATCTTTATTTGTTTTGCGTGTCTTGTTGTAGGTAACGGTTGGGAAATCCCATAATTTACGCATAATTTGGGATGTAATTCCATGTTCTTTCTTTAACACTCTGGTATATTTTTGATTTCATATGCTAGCTGAATGCGTTCGGACATTCACACTTTGCAAGTAGCAGAGTATCACGAATTCTGGTTGCTTCAGCCATGGTGGTTGTTTAGTATTGCTTCCTTTTACAGCAAAAGGGGTGGTAACTCATGCCCCAAAAAGAGTTGGTGTAATCGGGCTCGGCTTACCTGTTCGACTTTTAAGCCCATACAACAAGGAGTTGTGTGTGTGCCGGTCCAACACGCACGCCGAGCGCCCACGCACACACACACAACACATGCACACGCATACACACTCACATGCACACGCACACGCACACACTCGCGCGTCGAGTGCTGCAGGAATCATCCTGCAAGCATAATTTGGATGAAACCAGCTGTATTTGAAACAACACCATTCCATTTGGCACTAGAACCGAATGTGAATTGAAATGCTTCGAGTGAAACTGGCATGAATTTACACAGTCACATGTCAACCAAGGCCCCCCCCCCGCCAAAAAAGAAACAAGTCAAGGTATTTTTGTTGTAAAGGGTATCCCAAGTTGTTTCAAGGAAATCTCTTAACCTGCTTGGCTGCTCGGGGGTTTACGGCGGGTTCAAGTTTGTAGACCCCTGCAAAAACCAAAAAGGGTAAGCAAACAAGTCAGAAAGCGGTAAATAGGCCCTAAAGGCTTCACTGTAATATAAACATATATTTTTTCAGAGAGGGCGGGTCGGCATGGGGGCTGAGTTTTTCAGATTCCTGGGGGCTGAGTTTTTCAGATTCCTGGGGGCTGAGTTTTCAGATTCTTGGGGGCTGAGTTTCTCCATTAAAAACACTTAAAAAAATACCAAAAATATAAGATCAAGACCCGTGACCTCTTAGATTTATTGGGGTGCGTTTTTGTGTTTTTGGCTGATGACATGCAAGCACAGATTCATTTTCGATCCAATGAAGACTAAGATGCATCCAGACCTGGAAAATGAGCTAGCTTCAATCTGCACAGAAGACAGCCTGTTGAGAACTATTTTGCACAAATATCATTGTTGGACACAAATATTTAGCAAACGTGTGTCTGTAGCTTATTTTTGGATAATTGGCATGCTTACGCATGCCAAGTTTATAAACCTCAGGGTGCTAATTTTTGGAAGACGTATGTTTGGCACAAATCTGCAACACAAGTTGCATACGTATGCAATATGTTGGAAGACGTGTGCTTAGCAATCTGCAAGCAGATGTATGTTTGGGACAAATATTATTGTTGTGTTGCAATTCTGAAACACGTAAGTATGGCAAGCACAGCTTGCCACGCATATGAAATCGTAAGAAAGGTAAGATATCACTGATCTATGCAGCTTTCAGCTGCAAGATTCATCTCTTTTTACAGTTGGATGTTCAATATTTTTCAATATACGCATGGGCTCTGCCCATGCTCTTGAGAAAAGACAGCTAACACAAACATATTTATCGCATAATGAGCTGGAGCAATTGGAGCACAGCTCCAATCTAGTTGCTTGAGCTCAAGAAGCACAAGATGCAAAGATGAGCACCTGCAACGATATCTGCAGATGCAAATACCATTCTCTGCATAAAGCTGTTCAGCTTTGGAATAAGAGCTTTGGAATAAGATTCTCTGCAGCTATTCGTGTTGCTGAAGAGCTCTTGCAACAGTAAAGCTGTTCAGAATAGATTCAAGTAGACACAAGCCACAAGCAATTGCTTGTGATGAGATGTTACCTGGAGATGAGATAAATTATCTCCAGTTACCTGGGGTTACCTGCAGAATATCTTGGAAGAGGCTTATGTTCTGTTGATACACATCTCATCATATTATTGATGTCTTGCATCAAGAAAGCTTGCATCAAGAAAGCATCAACAAAGTATTGTCTTCAGATGATGGGCTGTGTTTTTTGTTTTCTTGGTGTTTATGAGCAAAGGCACCAAAAAAACAAAAAACAAACAAACAAAAAAACAAACAAAAAAACAAAAAAAACAGACCCATGGCCCTGAACTAGCAGATGCAGATGATGGGCTGTGTTGTTTGTTTTTTGGTTTTCTTGGTGTTTATGAGCAAAGGCATCAAAAAACCAAAAAAAAAAACAAAAAAACACCAGACCCATGGCCCTGAACTAGAAGATGCACATGATGGGCTGTGTTTTTTGGTTTTTTGGTTTTTTTGTTTTTTAGTTTTTTGCTGAAAAATCTCAGCCCCCAGGAATCTGAAAAACTCAGCCCACAGGAATCTGAAAAAACTCAGCCCCCATGACGACCCCTTCCATTTTTTGTAGGGAAGTATAAAGCATTTTTTGGTAGGGATTAGGGAAGACCCTTTTGGGCTGGTGTCAGAGAAAACCAAGACAACAACCACGATTTTAGGGATTCCCCCATTGAGACAGACCAGGGAAACCAAGACCGTTTTGGGGGGGGGGGGCGAAAGAACGGACACACCCATTTGGCCTCTTCCCCAGTCTTGGACCGTTTTTATTGGCGTCCACTCCATATTATTTTGTGCGGCAGACTTTTTCCTGGTTGTTGAGAACCCATATATCCTGGTTTGTTTTCTAGGCCGCCCAGTAGCCTTTTTTGGAGCAGGGTTCCCCTCTAAAATAGACGTCCAGAAAAAGAAAAGTGGGTACCCTTATTCTAACCTCTCAAATCTGGAGGACCTAGTTTTTAAGGGACGACCAACAAGAACACCCACATTCTCGGGGGCTCTGGGGGCGCCACGGGGGGGTTTTTCAGGTGCGGCGGCCTTTGGAGCAGCTGGAGGCGGCCCTGGGCGCGGTGCGGTCGGAGCAGCGCGCCATGCGGCGACTCCAGGAGCAGCAGCTGCAGCGCATGGATCAGCTGCTGGAGGCGCCCCAGGCGCGAAGGGCTTGGTGTAGGTGGGGTGGGGTGGGGTGGGCTGGGGTGGGTGGGGTGGTGGTTTAGGGGTTGGGTGAGGGGGTGGGGTGAGGTGGGGTTTGGTGGGGGTGGGGGTGGGTTTTGATGGTTTGGTTTGGTGTGGGGCTTGGGGTAGGGGTGGGAAGCACTGAGGAAGCACAGGTAACTTGCTTTTCAATCATACTTTCCTTTTGCTGATACACAATGTTTATTGTTTTTTTCTCTTACGGGCAGACTCTTTTTTCTCAGGCATACTTGGTTTGTGTGTGTGTGTGCGGGTTGTGTGCTGCCCCTCCCCTGCCTGGCACCCTCGAGCGAGATCTGGCGTCGCACCGAGGCGAGCGCCGGAGACGCGGCGCTGGTGGAGCATGTGCTCTACGCCCAGTCCGCGCGCAGGGAGGAGTTTCTGCACGCGGAGCTGCGGCATTTGGATCAGGAGGAAAAGGACCGGAAGTGGATGCCGACCGAAATGGGCCGAGTCCAAAGCGGTCGATCAGGCTGAAAAGGCCAAAGCAGTCGAAGATGAAACCTTTTGGGTTGCCAACTTGACCCATGGGCTGAAGGGATGTGCCCAACAGTGGATAAATGGGCGTGTCCTTTGTTGAGGGTACCCTTTTTAGGGTTGTTAAAAGGGAAAGCAACAGAAACCCACTCATGTTGGGGGTCCCCCATTATAAGACACACCCAAATCAGTTTGGGTATGGTGATCTTTTAGGGGTGCGGGCGAGCACGTCCCCAGTTTCTGGACGTAACCTTGGCGGCCGCTCAGCTGAGACAGGAGTCGCACCAGCCGAAGGAAATATTCCCCGAATCAGTGGATCAGTTGATCCTAGGCGTCCAACGTGAATTAGGATGTCCCAAATCAAAAGTTGATCTAGTTGGTCGGGGTCATAGGTGTCCTATGTCAGTTTGATGAAACGTATTTGTGGAGTTGGCAGGTTCCCCATCCAACTTTCCAAACAACACCTGCGTATAGGTTCCTGTGAAACTTTTGCAGCTGAGAACCCGCAAGTGCTCATGGGAGTTTCTAGGGGGACCAGTAGTTTTCCCCACCAGGAACTCTTCTTTTTGGAATCATAACCATAGGTGTCCTTTTTGGTTGATTTGGTTGCAAAATTAGAGGGCCCTTGTTTAACTGGTGGGTCCATCTATTTCCCAAAAAGGACGCCTATGGTCATAACCCATTTCACCTCTTGGTTTACGGGCCAAGCAGCTTGGGTCGAAGACCGGTGCCCGGTGCCCCGTGCGTGCGGAGCTTGGACGCCCGAAGGAGCTGGAGCAGGCGAATTTGGAGCTCAAGCGCCAGGCCGCTAAAAAAAAAAAAAAACATATTTCAGGGTTGTGGGATCACCCTGGGTTTCTCCCCACTTCTGCGATACTTTGGGGAATCCCCCTTTCTATTAACAAAATAGTCTTTGGGAAGCCCTTTCTGTTGTATCACAGAAGTGGTCATTCCCCACAGCCCTGCCACTGCATATTCTTGGTGGTTCGCAGCCATCCGGTTCCTCAGCTTCTCAGCTTTTTAGTGTTTAGTCGGGATTTTCACTTAACCCACTAAAAGTTGAACTCGTAGCAAGGGATCTGAGGACAGGCCAGTATTATACCTGGATTTAATGAACCAATAGGAGAGCAACTGGTTATCTACAATAAGGGTAACTGGGATCCACTGGGATTATTTTTGTTTCCAGTTCGTTTGGAGAAAAACGGGGTGGCACAGGGTCTTGGTCGTGAACACAAGGATTTTGATTCGAGTGCTGTCAGGCGGAGGCGATCGAAGCCGAGGTGCCACTCGTTTCGCATCCTCCTCCCGCTTGGCTGCCGATGCCCACGCTGGCGCCAACCCTGGGGATCTCCGATCCATCGGGCTGCAGGACGTTGCCATCGAGTGGGACTTCCCCACGTCCACTCCTAGTCCCAACTGCCGGGACTTCCACCTGGCAGTCGCCACTTGCCGCGAGGCTCACCACGCCAACTGGGACTTCCACCTGGCAGTCGCCCGTGGCGCAGCCAAGGCCCGCGACGCGAAGCGAGCCCGTGGCCGCCCGACCCGGCGCCGCCGATGCAAAGGCGGCGTCCGACGAGGTGCGGGCCGTTCCTGGACAAGGGCCGCTGTGGCAGCCGGCTAGCCAGGAGAAGGGGGGAAGCGAGAAAGTCCGGAAGACAGGATACCCTCAGGCAAGGTTCAAAGGCTTCCATTTGCTGAAAAGAATATGCGTAGGTGTTGAAGGGAACCTATCACTTGTGGAAGTAGTCTTCATTCTTTTTAGGGGACTTGAGCAAATGGAGGAAGGGAAATGAAGAACCTGAATTATTTGGGGGCTGCCCATGGTGTCCCCTTTTCTGAGACACACTCAGAGTATTATCACGATAGAAATGGGCAGCCGCTGTCGACGTTTGGCAAACGCCAGGATTGCCACGAGCCTTTGATGCAGGCGTCGGCTTGCTTGACATATGTTTGTATTCGCGGGAGGGTACTTAAGAGGTGGTTAGTAGCCATGGTCGTGCCCTGCCGAAGCCATGGTTTTAAGTCCCGGTTCAGTGGTTATTCACCACTTGCCAGGTACCCTGCCCCTTCAAGCAAATCACCTCTGCAATTTCTGATGATTTCCACTCCCCGCCAAACTACCCCAGAAATATATTCCACATAGCTGCTATACAAGGGCCATTTATCCCGATTCCCGTGGGGTATATAGCGGTTTGGGGGGTAGCGGAAACCCATAGATCGCCTTTAAGCAGACCGATTCGTTGACAGGCTTACTTGGCCTTCCTGAACAATGAAGTCGATCGCCCTGCGCTCAGGTCGCTTTTCGCCCCTTTAAGCTAAGCTCGGTCAGTGGTTGAAACTGGATGGGTTCCACTGCAGTCACTTTGGTTCAAAACATTTGCCAGTGCAACCAATCGATTTGTAGGGCGATCTGGGCACACCAAGTCCGCGAAACAATTCAGTTTTTCTGGGAGTTGGGCAAAGATCTATTTGTTGCTTGGCCCTAAAAGAGCAAGCCAAGGACATATCTTATGAAGTCTTGCAATGCACCCCTCGGATTTGGTCCTTGTGGGCACCCCTTGGTATCCTGGAGGCTTGCGAGCCTCAAGAGAGGCTCGTCACTTAAGCAGTAGTTGGGGGGCATCGGGGATTCGCTTCTTTGTTGGTGATTACGACCCCCATGTTTGCAACCATTGGTTTTGGGGAGTGAGGCAACCCCCGTCTTGCAATCATTCGTTTTGGGGACTCAGGAAACAGTTGCCATGAAAAGTGGGCCCCTTTGAGACACAGCCATTGAAATTCAGCCGCTTTCGCCATGTGGCTGTCAAAATGAAACCACCAGAGGACCGCAGGTTTTAGTCCATGGTGCCATTTACCGGTGTTCCCATTTTAGGTACATGGCTGTGGGTCAAAACCAATGGTACTTTTTGGAGTAGGTGCACCACCCATTTTAGAACCTATTTTAGTGGTGATTGGGATGTTCACTGGGGGTACGGGCTGTTGACCCAATTCCACATATTTTTGACCCACCATGTGAGCTCCGAGGCCCGCCATCTGCTCCTCCTACGACTCTCACGCCTGCCACGGTCGCATGCCCCTCGCCGGCGTCTGCATCTCCTGTGGCAAGCGCGGCGGTCGCAAGTGCGCAAGGCCAGGGGATGGTCCAACCTAAAAGCAGCCGCACCATCTTTTCCCCGGCAAAACCCACGACTTCCAACCCCCCCCCCCCCGAGTTTGCTGGACACTTCGGGTCTGTTTTGCCACCACCTTCATTTCGGGTCTTGGTTGCTTAGTTGCTTCTTGGTACTCCATGGCATCCCCCCCCCTTCCCCCCCAAAACCCGCCATTATAGGGGTTGATTCCCCATTCTTTTCAACCACCTTTCTTTTCAAAAACCAGCTCAGTATTTTCCTTGGGTTTCCGGAGGTTTGGAAAGATTCGGATCCCTGGGTTCAGAGCGGAAATGGAAGGTACCCCTAGAGCCATCCGTTTTCGGACTCAGGGCGGACTCGCCCGGCCTCGCGGGCGATCGCGGGCGCCGCGTCGCGAACTTGGGGCGGACGTCGCTCGCGAGGCCTGGAGATGCCGCAGGTCTACCGCGCCGCGGTGCAGATCGTGGCGGAGCACGGCTGGGAGGCGCTCCATGGGGGCGAGCAAGCAGGAGACCCAGCCGGGCGGCGGGGGTTTTGGTTGTTCTCCCCGGCTGTTTTTTTTTTTTTTTTTGTGTGTGTGTGTGTGTTTTGTTTTTGTTTTTGGTGGTGTGTTGTTTGGCGTTGTTGTCTTTTTTGTCCGGCCATGGGTCAGCCTCCCTCAAATGTGGACCCCGGGAAAATCAACCCCTGCTTGTGTTTTGTTTGTTTTTTCTCGGTTTTTTTTCGGGCATGGGGATCCCCGGAAAAACAAAGGTCCCGAATTGGTGGTTTGGATTGGTTTGGGGATTTGAACTGAACCCCAGCTTCTGGGTAAATGGGAAACCTTTTCATCACCAAAGCACCAATTGGAGGGAAGCTGAATGGGGATCCCCGGGAGGAAGCCTTTATGGCTATATATGGCTATTGGGTAACGGATCTTTGTTTGGGCTTTAGCTGTTTGGTTGAAACAGGTCGGATTTTCCCATGAGAGCCACAAAAGGTGAAGCGTTTCTGCGAAGCGTCAACAGCAAACCAAGAAGTACCAGCCCCGTGGATTTGACCATCAATGACATTTTCTAGGTTGAAGGGAGAGAACCAACCAGTTTCTGACTTAAACCCTTAGAAACAGGCAAATAGGGTGACCCCAGAATGGGGATGCCCCACTTTGGCATCACAGGGGTGTCCCTTGGCCGCTCCAGTCACTGCACTGATGAGAGGTGGGAACTCCCGAAAAAGTCATTCCCAGCTTCCCTTCAAGAAGCTTCCCTGAGATCATTCCCCAAGCTTCCCTGCGTGATTTTTTTGAACGAGAGAGACTGGCGCGTAAATGCTGGACCTTGATTGTGTTTTCGAGAAATTCAGTTTCTGTGATCCAAGAATTTCAAGATCCAGCAAATGTTTCTGTGATCCAAGGAAAACCATTCAAAATCACAGAAGATCTCAGAAGCATTTATTCCATGTAGGGGCACTGTGCCCCCGTCAAAATCATATCTCAGTGAACAGTTGCCGAGAGGTCGCCCCATTGGAACTGAGAGACGGATGCCGAGAGCTCCAAGAAAGGGAAGCCAAAAGGAAAAAGCACCACACACCGCCTTTCAAAGCAGCTGTTTTGCTGGAGGGGGATTTTGTTGGTTCAGAGGGTAAGGATTTGGTGTAAGGTCAGCCAGTCTTGGCCGTTTTGGTGGCTTGTGCAGCTGCTAGAAAAGAACGATGGTTGAAAAGAATGGGGAATCAACCCCAATAATTTTGGTATCGCCTAATTTGGAGGCAACTTGGTATCCCCCCAATTTGGATGCAAACCCAGATGGGCTGGTCTCATGAGACCGTGGTGAACACAACTTGATATTTCCCTTTCACTGTTGTTGGCATGTTTTTTGGTTTGCTGGTGTCTTCGGATCTGCTCATTTTTAGCGGGCTGCAACAACAACTTCAAGTTTGTTGCAAGCCCATACCAAGGGCTTCCCTGTAAAGCAACCATCTTCTTTTGCTTTCCCTATAAAGGGGTTGTTTAAGGCTTTGTCTTCTTTAAGGGAACCCTAGGTGATTCCCCCTTGCATTTCCCTTTCAAAATCAACCCCGAACTGGGCTTTCGTTTAAGGAGGTGCTAGGTCCCCCAGTAGTGCCCTTTTACCCTTTTTGGTTGGGAGGGTTACCAGTTACCCTACTAAAATAGACATGCTGAAAAAAATCGGGTAGCCTTCTTCTAACCTCTCTACTGGAGGCCCTAGCCCTAGCCCTCGATAAGGCCCTTATGAAGGGCTGAATAAGGCGATAGCCTCCTCTCCCCAATCGCCCCCCCCCCCCTGTGCATTTTAGTCTATTTTAGTGGGGATTGGGATGTTCACTGGTACGGGATTTTGAACAGGAAACGGAAGGAGGGGTAGATCCTTCAAGAAGCCAAGGAAGCCAGGGGTAGCATTTTTTGAGGAGTTGTTTGCCCCATGGCCAAATGAGTTTTCGTAGGAGGTGCCTTGCAGGAGCTTGCTGGACCGCCTTGCACTGGGCGGCGGCCGAGGGGCGGAGCGACATCTGCCAGCTGCTGCCAGCGCCTCAGACGTGGGGCCCGGAACGAGGCGACCACGGACGACGCTTCGGTGGGGGCAAAAAATCAAAACGCCCGCAGGGTTTGGACGGTGATGATATTCGAGTTTGCGTGTGTGCGTTGTGTTTTGTGCTTTTTTTTTGGTGGTTTTAAAGGGACACCAAAAGGAAGCCCTTTTGGTTTTGCCGGGTCCTCTAAAAGAAGAGAAAGCTATTTTCGTTGCTACATCAGGAGGACAGCTGTTTATGCCTACTTGTTTCTGCAAAGCCAAGAACATGCAGCATGGGGGGAACGGGTTGCGTTCCCCAAGGCTCAAGAGGCGCGACTTTGTTCTGGCAATGTGCTGATTTCAGAGCCAAAGCGATCGAGGGGGAGGGAAGTAGCAGTTGGGTTCTTAAAGGGAGACAACCAGCTCGGTCATTTTGAGGGGCCCGCTTTTCTAAGTCTCCTAAAGGGGGTACATTCTGAGGGCTTCCTGAAAATATATTTGGGCTGAAACCGATTTCCGGTTCTTAGGCTCTTTTCAGGGGCGTTCGGGCTACCGGCACCGGCACGAGTTACCTATAACAAGTAAACCAGGTATGTCTACCGCTAGGCTTTACATGCCTTCCAGCTACCACTGTAGCAGGTAATCATGGCCTGCCTCTAGGCGTTGTTGTCATGGCTTGCTCTGGTCAGGGTCATTTGGTTTGTGGGTGCCTTTCAATCGAAGCCACAAGAAAACCGCCCGTCTTGCCAGAAACGCTCGCGGGGGTTCACTGGGTTGTCGTTGTTCCACTTTTCGGTTCAGCCAAAAACACTCGACTCTAGCGTGTGGGAGCTGAACTGCGTCCGAGTCCTCAAAGTTGCCGAAGTGATTTGCCTCTCTTTTGGGGGCGCTCCAAAGAACCTGATGGCTAGGTAAAAATAGAACTTAGCCTCCCGGTAATTCGCTGTTTGAATTGGTGGTTTGGAGGTCAGGGGGTGGTTTCCCATTTAGAAATTTACACTCTGCAAGAACCAGGGTTTAAATCCCCAAACCACCGCATCCATTAGGGCCACCAGGGGCTAACCTGAATGGGTGTCCTTGTGGCAGCACCATTACGGGGATGTCGGTCTCTCCATTCCTTCGACACCCGCGTCGAGTGACACATTCCTCACTGGATCGTCAAAGGTTGCGGTGCCGTGCCAACATACATCACGAGGACGGGTGATGCCATGTATCATGTATTGCTTACCGTCCTGAAAGCTGATGCTGCTGCAGGAGTGCCAGTTGATGAATCTGCCCCGGTCGGCTTATAGGGGGATTTCAACACGCGTTGCACACGTGGGAGCTCGAATCACTTGGGGAGAACCCAGCAGCAAAATGCAGGGTGGTGGAAAATGGGCTTTTAAGCTGCCAGTTTCTGTGAGGACATTCCACATTGGCTTGATACCCATGGCTGTGTCTCTGGAATCGCACGCCGAAGGATCAGTAAGGTGCCACCTAGTGAACTCCCCTTCGAATATCAGGGTCCTAACTCCTTTCCTTTCATGGTTGCCGTTGGGAAGCATTTTACATTGAGTGGTTGCAATCAAACCACTTAACTGCCAAACTTTAATTTGTTTGCTCCCCTTCCAACGTCAACCAAGTTTTGGGGGGAGCTTCTGGCCGGTTCCCAAAGTCAATACGTCCGTCGACCGCCCGATCTCGTGCCAGGATGAGATCGGGCGAACTCCAGCCTACTACGCTGGCCTGCACGGGCATGCCGAAATCCTCGCGGGGGAACTCGGGTCATCACCTGGGAAGCGGCGTGGTTGGCTGGCCATGGTTTTTGGCCAGATGCCCTCCCTGCGTGAAATTGGGGGAGGGAGTGTTTTTCACCCCTGAAATTCCGTTGATGGTTTCATTGTCCCTTTGCTGGGGAATACTAGACCAATGGAAGTGGGGACCACCTCGAGGCCCCTCAAGGCAGGGTGGCTGGCCACGCCAAGTAGTGACAGTCGCAATCAATGGGTGCGGGGATGGGCCTTTTTAATTCTGCACCATTTCTTGGTGGCTCCCAGCCATCCCCTTAGCGGTTTTGCTTTTTAGCTGTTTAGTGTTTAATGACGTTTCCATTCAACCCACTAAAAGTTAAACTTTTAGCGAGGGATCTGAGGACAGCCCAGACTTGTTTTGGGTCGACCCCGTTTATGCCGGAGGTTTCATGAGGCTGAGCTTGGATGGTTTCGGTTGGTGGCTTGGGCGTGTGGCTTGGGCTTGTGGCTAGGCTGTGTTGGATAGGGGAGGTTTGGTACTCAAGCTCACGAAAATGGGTTCCAAGCCGTTTCTAGCCCCGTCCGACTTGAACCCTTGGGCTGATTTTGGGAGAAGGAGCCGTGAAAGTCTACCTTGCACCTTGACTAGGTCCCCCAGGATCGTGTCCTTTCTCACCCCTTTTTTGGTTGGGAGGGTTCCCCTACCAAAATAGACTACAGAAACAAACAAAGAGAGAAAAACACACAAACAACAAGTTGGTACCTTTATTCTAACCTCTCTGCTGGAGGACCTGGTTGCGTTAGATGTTTGCAGAAAGCGGAGAGCCCAGATTTGTAGCCTGTTTTGGTTTAGTCACCAAGGGAATTGTCCCAAACAGACACACCCATGTTGCTTGAGGAAGACCAGCCCCACCTAGTTGCATGGAACTCTGGCTCCGCAGAACTAGTTGCTGAGGCTCTCCTGAAGACCAACGAGCCATCCGCGGCTCAGGATCCAGCGGAGAACTCCTCGCGCCAGCTTGCGGTCGAAGCTTCCCAGCGAACCCATCAGAACACGGAATCTTCGGGGGGCCATGGCTATGGGGGGGGACTATCCCTGGATAAGCCCAGGAGAACGCAGGGATGAGCCCTCAATGAGGCCCTTATTAAGGGCTGAATAAGGGATAGCCCCCCCTCCCCATAGCCCCCCTTAAAGGTCCATAGTGACTTCCAGAAGCTTCCAGTCCTCCAGAAAAAGTACTCTCAGATGTTTCAGTTAAGAAGCCATACTGTGGTTGCGAAATGGCTGCGGCTGAAATAAATGTGCCTGGAACCTTGGGAAATGGAACCCTTAAGACTAAAACCTGCGTAGCCCCAGCGATTGAATTTTGAGCCACAGCCAAATCCGTCCGCACCACGAAATGAAACCAGGGAAAACCATAAGGTTTGTTGTTATTTGCGTTGGGGAATCGAAGCAAAAAGCAGGGTTTCTGAACGGTGGTGCGAGAAGCGGATTTCGTAGCCATCCGCATTTTTCCCCAAAATGTGGCCCAAGTCACCTGGAAAGGCCTTCTCTATAAAAAGGAGTTGGGTGTGGCTCAAAATTAAACAGGAGGGGCAAACCGCAGGTTTTGGTCCATGTTTCCTCTTACCGATCGGGCAAGCCATTTTGGACTTCCGGTTTTTTGAATTCGCCACAGCCAGTTGTTTTCCTGAAACTGAAGGTTCTCGGTCCAGAAAAGTCTCCGTCGGTTTCCTTCCCGAGGACTCGAAGACGCCCAGCGAGGACGAGTCGGCGAGGGTCTTCGTTTGGGGGTTGTCTGGGCCCCTCCCAAAAGTGGCTGTGGTCAAAGCCGTCTTGGGATTTTATTTTGGTGGGTGAATTCACCAACCACTTCAGGCTTCCTATTTTAGTGGTTGGATTGGATCGGATGTTCACAAGGAGTGCGGGCTTTCCCATGGCCAAGTAGGTGCCCCTTTGTCGTGGAGAAGCTGCCCCTTTTGCCCATCACCTGGGGTCGCAACGCTTTAGGTCAAGGTTCTTCCCGAGGGGCGTGACCCCTAAACAAGCACGCGTGGGGTTGCGTGTTGTTGTTGAGGGTGCACTTTTTGGAGTTGGTGTAAAGGGACACCAAGGGAACAACTACCATTGTGGGGGGAAGCCCCCCTAATTTCAAACAAATACGGAAGGGGTGCCCGTACGCTGCGCACCTCGTCCGCGGAAGGATGTGCGCCCTCTCTCTCCTCAGCGTTTTTACATCTCATGGAGCTTGAAAAAGATGTTTGGTCAAGTGTTTCTGGATTCCTTGAGACATGGTTGCAACTTGCCAAGGCCACCAGTTGCAAGAGGACTGTTCAAAGCTTGGAGAACTGAATCCTGATCCATTTCCCTGGGTAAGCAAGGGAACCCTGCGAAGTTTAAAAAGAGTTGGCTCTGATGGGGGATGAGGCAGCATCTGTTTCAGGACCCGTCCCATAACAACCCCCACCCAAAACCTCTCCAAAGGATCCTGTAGATGGCTTCCTTGAGAAATTTGATTCCTTGGCATCGTCATGCGTCACAGGAAGATCACACGGACCGCTTATCCGCCGCAAGCACCGGGGTCTCAACCTCAGCGTGGATTTGGGAGTTGGGGGGGATTTCGCTGCACCAGGTGTCCTTTTTGCAGATACCTTTTGGGTTTTGAAGTGACTTCAAAAGCAACCCGAGCAATCTCAGCCGAGTGTTCGCATGAGTCAAAGTGATCAGAGATGGAACCCCATGAAAACGCTTGGGTTCAATTCACATTCCAAACACACAAGCGATGAATTCCTCAAACAAGCACCCATGCCAATTTTGTTTGTCAGTCCTAGGCGAAGCAACGGAAAGGCCTGAGAAGAGGCCACAAGGCCCAAATCAGACACTGTGAGCAGACCTGATAGGGGTGTGTCCTTTTTTGGAGTTGGTACCCTTCTTTGGTTGCTTTAATCGGAACACCGTGTTTTCTTTCCAACCAACCTGGCTGGTCCCCGGTGTGCGAAGAATCCGCAAACCTCTCTGGGGGCATAGGCCGGAAGTCTCCACCAGTCTCCGTGGCACCTTCCGGAAGCGCATCGCGATAGCCAGGCAGAAGTCGCAGCCAAACGCCAGCAGAAACTGGTTGCGCCTCAAATGAGACTTGTGAGCGAGCCATCCAGTTTCTGTTTCCGGCCTGCCGCGCCCTTGCAAAGGGTACTAGAAACCATACCCCTCTCTGAAAGCTGCAACCCAAACCTCTTCTCGCAGGCCGATTTCTCGGCCTGCCGACCCCCCGAAACGCCAAAACGCTGGGGACTCCGTTCCGAGGCCAGTGCCCTATGGAACGACCGTGCCTCACATGCGTCACCTTGGTGTGCGCCCAAGATGGCGGGGAGGTTGTGAAGGGTCAAGATGTGGGTTTTGAAGCCCTGGTTCTTGTAGAGTTATAAAAAGAAAATGGATAAATGGGAAACATGTTCACCACCAAACCACCAATTGGAGGGAAGCTGAATGAGATCCCTGGCAGAAAGTCTTTGTGGCGAAATTTGGCAACGGATCTTTGGACTTTAACTTTTGGGGTGAAACAAGTGGGATTTTCCGTTGTACCACAAAAATATAAACACTTTTTTTGCGGAGGGGTCAACAGCAACCAGGTATGTTTAGGGGATTCCGACAATGGCTTCTGATTGTGTGTGGGTAGGAGTGGATGTAGAGAAACCAAAAAGGAACCTAAGCATATGGCTGTGGATCAAGACCAAGGGTACCATTTTGGGGTAGGTGCACCACCCATTTTAGTCTATTTTAGTGGGGACTGGGATGTTCACCGGGGGTACGGGATTTTGACCCATGGCCATATGGAACAGACTTTGGTTTTCACAAAGTGAGCCACAATCAGAGCCGAGGTGAGGTTAGGTGGCACAGTCCGGGCCAGAAATGCGTGCGGCTGCCTGGTTGATTCTTTACCACTGTCTCGGGTATACACTTGTTGCTTGATTGCTGCTAGATTGCATCTCCAGACTTGAACCGTTTGGGACATCAAGGGTTTTCCAATTAACCCACAAAAGTTAGTTCTTTTGCAGAGGGGTCAACAGCAACCAAGGTTGACCAGTTGATTATGACTCATGTGAGCAACGGTCAATATGTACTGTCATCGGTACCAACGGAAAACATTGCGGACACTGACATTGACACTAGGAAATGGGTAGTCGCCAATTTCCCATCCAATGCATAATTTCTGTGACTCATCTGATGCACTGACAATCTATTTGCTAGTCTATTGTTTGAGCACGAGAAGGGGGGGCAAACCCAAATGTGCCATTAAAACTAGGGGCCCACCCAAATTTCGCACTCCCTGGGGACAAAGGTCGCTGTGTACATGGCTCATGCGAGTAAAATGGATTCAATTGCCAGTAAGCCAAGCCCTGTTGCAATCGTTTGTTTGGTGTTTTAAACATACCACTTGGAAGCCGAAAGGAGACTAACCAATGCTTTGCTGTTGACCATGTCTCATGTCTCAAAACACAGTAGGATCAGGACTCAGGCCGGTTCATGCTGCAGATGGTTACAACATCTCCCCCATTCACCAGGTGGGATGGATGCCCTCATATTGGGATCAACGCCTACCCACTGAAAAACACACAGGGGACACTGCTGAGCTTTTCCCGTAATGTTGGACCCTCTGTACACTGCCCCAAGTCCAATTTGTTTTTCCCATTTGTTTTGGGGAAGGGGAAACCACTTTTTTGGGAAGGGAAAACAAATTGCCACTTGTCAATCAGGTAGACCGTGCATGATGCCTTTGCGCATGACCTTGAGATCCAGCGGGCCGTCCTCAATGACTTGAGTCAACACGTGCCAAGCACGCCACCTGAGATGGGAGCTTCTTCTTTTTTTCTTTGCGGCTTGGCACTGTTGAGGGTCTTTCCCCTTTTGGTGTTTGAAAAGTTTGGTGTTTGAAAAGCAGGAGCTTCGGTATTTCGCACTTTTGGCGCAAGGGGGTTGCGTTGCGCAGCTTCAAAGGCCGAAAAGATTCGGGCTGCCCGTTTTTTGGGGTCTCTCTGGTAGCTAAAGACCCAGGAGGTTTTCCGCGTCTCAGGTCTGCGACGACCCAGCACGTTTGAGCAGGTTTTCGCTCGAGAAGCGGCGCGTTTTGGGGGGTTGCTCAAAGGGCACCCCGTCTGAAATGCTCAAGCAAATGTAGTTCTAGTTTCACAAAAGATGCGAGACCTGCAGAGACTTCTGTTTTCGAGTTGGCATCCTTTTCTTTGCTAGTTTTAGAAGGAAACCGAAAGGACAACTACATGTTGTTGATCTTTTTTTGGAGGGGGGTCCCTCGTTTTGTCATCGACCCACATGATCTGGCCAGTGTTTACACCACCTTCATGGTATTCATGGTACGCTTTCCGAGATTCGTGAGAGACATCATGCCCGTCGCTCCTGTGCGTTTTGCATATGTTTGCAATGTCTGCCGCTGCCATTTAGCTGGCCTCTTCATAAAGTGAAGAGTCGGGGATAGTGATGTGCTTGCTGTGCCCGCTTCAGCCTGAGTTGACGCCATGAATCAAAGTAGTGACAGCAGGTGTCCATTTTGGGACTCCTCAGAATAGACTGAAACTCAGGGTCCCCTTTTATCAACCACAAGCCAAGTCGACTCAAATGAGCCGTGCCCCAAACCCTGGCTGTGTGGAGTAGGTGGTTCCACTTGGTTCGACTGAGTTTATGGCAGAGCCTGTAGAAATCTTACCCAGGTCAGCAGAAGCAGCAGTCAACTCACCTCCCGAGCTCCTGAACTTTGAATTGTTTGGAAAGACCAGTTCAGTGGTAAACAAAACTGGATAAATTATAACGACCTCACACGACCTCACCCCAAATGGTGGGGAATGGCCCCCCAACCATCTCATTTGAGGTTGGTGAAAAATATCACAATTCACCCAGACAGAACGTTTTGACTTTTTCTGGCCAATCCACTCGACCGGTCCGGTGAGTCAATGAGGGAAATGGGCGTTCTAGGGCGTCGCGCTGGGACGGGTTTCGGGTGACCGATTTCAATCGGTGCGTGCCGAGGACTTAAGGTCAGCAGCAAGCTCCGTCAGTGCAGGCTGAGTCGAACATTCCGGGCGGTCGCTGGTCGCTGGCTCGATGGGGGAATTCGAAACTGAGAGATGCCCCCAAGAAAAGCTATCCCCCCTTTGGATGTTGTGTTTTTAAGAAGGACACCTGGAAGGCCGCGGTTGTTTTCCTGAGGCTCAGTGGTGCGGCCCGTGTACTGGTCTCTTAGTTTCAGCTTGGGCTCTCCAGCTTTTGCCATCTCATCTTGGTTTGAACTTGCGCTTAACCTGTACCATCTCTGGATAGACAAGATGCCCAGTGAAAAGAGTCAGGTAGACTTCAACCCAATGTCCAGGGCCTCAAAACAAACAAGTGGGAGTAAGTACCAAGAAATCCATGAGGAGAAATTCTGAATGGACATCATGTGGGTGTGTCTCTTATTGGGAAGCCCAAAATGGTGGCTTCCCTCCCGGTTTCCCTTTAAAGCCAACCAAAGGTGGTTCCCCAAGAAAACACCCATTTACATTGATGTCCACCAACCATTTGGCAGAGTGCTCCCTATTGAAATCACGCACCCCACCGAGAAGAGTGTCCTCCTGCAGATTTCTATCGAACCCCCAAAAAACGTGGTTTCAGATCCATGTCCTTTGGGGGGGGGGGGGGTTCCTTTTATTGGGGTTCCATGTGAATTCGCCGCTCATGTTTCATTCGAAAACTTGGAAGGCCTGACCTCCGGCGTCCGTCTCAGGATGCGAAAGGACGCCCCGTGCCGTGCGCTCGGTGTTTCACGGGCTCGCGTAGACCAAACTGCTGAACCATTCGGGGCCGGGATAAACGTCAGTTTTCTTTGGGAGCTAATTGAATCACATCGCCAAACCGATCAGTCGTCCTTTTTTCTTGCGGGACGGGGTGCATCAAATCAACTTTTCCAAACCTGTCAGTGGTGTTTTTTTTTGCCAGAGGGGGAGAAACATCTCATGTTTTTCCGGGGGTCATGGGATTTTTCGCCTTTTTCGGCTTCGGGATCGAAGCCAGTGACCCCTTGGAACCTACCCGAGTTTGGCGGAAGCCACCGTGGACCCTAAATTTGCATGTGTTTAATCGCGGTTGTTGTTGGGAAAATTTTTATGCATGTTTGCTTCTTGTGGTTTAGTGGGGAAATCCAACCACTTACCGGCTAAAATGTAGATGTTGCTCCCCTTCCAACGACAACCAAGTAATCTGCTGCATCCCTCAATGCGAACTTTTGAGTGAAAGGGAGACCAACAAGAAGCCAGGATGCTATGGGGTCAAATCCGATTAACAAGTGGTTGCAGTTTGAGGAGTTCTCAAAATTCATGCTGGAGGTGGGAAGCCCCTTGAAACCGCCGTGAAGGTGACTTTGACAGTGTCGCTTTCGAGGATTCACTTGCTGTAAGAGTTGTGAAACATCCACAATGGTGGTCAGTGTGAGGTGAACAAGAGCAGGGCCGCACAGTCGCCCTTACAGGGGGCTCCCTATATTTATCCTTTAAAGGGTTTCAAACCCATTGAGGCCAATTGACAGCGATGCACGTGGACTCTATTTTGCGGGTCTCGACTGCGTTTTTCTCTCGTAAGGTCCGCAGCGTTGATGCAGAGGCGTGGGTCTCGCGAGCAAAGCTGGGAGTTTGGGCGTTGCGATATCTTGCAGGACATGGGCGATCATATGGTTGTTGTTGGGACACATTTTGCATTTTTGCTTATTGTGGTTTAGTGGGAAATCCCCACCTAACTGCTAAAATTTAAGTTTTTGCTCCCCTTCCAACGTCAACCAAGATCACACTTCACTTGCTGGTGCGCTAGGCAGGGAATGAGAAATGGAATGAACCCAGGGGTCTCCATTTCTCACTCCCTGCCAATTTCGCATAGGGGTCATTCCCCGCATTGCCTGCCTTCGAGGGTCAAAGGAACCCGATTGGGGGGCAAACATGGGAAGTGTTCGGCGGCCTCGGCCTCCAGGGCGTGTGGAACGCTTGGAGAAATTCACAGAAAACTGAGGTTCGCACAAATTGTTGGGTCCAAACCCGAAGCGCAGCTATGGTTCAAACATCCTCCTTTTGGCTCCCCTTAAATTACAGGTGGCCAGGGTTGCTCCATGAGTTCTTCGATTTGTGTTTTCGTTCGCGAGCGAGGTGGTGAACTTCCCACACAAAACCGGGCTCGCGAAAGTTCCCGTCCAGTCAGACCTGCATAGTTTGTAGGGCTAGGCTTCGTTTGTTGGGACAGGAGTTCAACGATTCGCAGGGTTGCAGCTGGACAGAAGGACCAAAGTCTGGATGGGACGTGGGATGGAAAATGGATGTTGTTGTTGTTTTTCTTGTTGGGGAGGGATCCCCGAAATGGGTGGGTTGTCCTTTTGGCTTCTCAAAAACCAAACCCAAAAAAGGGGCGCCAACTCCAAAAAAGCAACCTAGAGGGGAATGGGTTACAATTGCCACCACCGGGGGACTTGTTGGGTTTTAGTTAATGTTTCGATTTAACGGGGCAAACCAAATTATTCTGGGGTTCCTCTATTCTTGACCCACCCCCATCATCCTTTCGGTGAACTTGCTTCGCGCATCTGGGCCGGACCGAAGGGGTCGAGCCCCACGACGACTTGTCTTGGTGGGGATAGCTCGAGTCTCTGCCAGGACTTCATGGTAGAGCTAGTTGGGGACACTAAAGGGTGGACATCAAAATCCGGAGAAAAAAAGGGGAAACAATGGAAAAACAACAGTTCAAGAGAGGTTCCGAAACATGAAGGTTCTTCATGTCCATATGTCTGTCAATGTTTCCCAACGTTTGCAGACCGCACTTGGAGCGCTCAACTCACCGCGAGGCGGCGCAGGGTTCTCGTGCTATGTTCCTTTTGGGCGCCCGCCTCAGGCTGCCGCTCGTTGGTTTTGGGGTCGGGATTCAAATGGGTCATTTGTATGTGAGGACCCTTTAGGGTTCCAGCTGGCCCCATTCCGGGTGTCAATCGCCCAACCGAAGCTTCCAGGTTGTTGCAGAAGCAAAAACCGCCATGGAACTGGAACCATACAACAAACACTGTTTTCCCACAATTGACACCCTCCCGAAAAGCCACGAATCGGTCATCGTGATGAGATATACATAGGAATCCACCACTTTGGCCAAAAAAAGACGGCATCCATGCTGCGCCTTTGTTCGTTGTTTTGTTGCTCTTATTTGCTTGGTGCAGCAAACGGCATCCGTTCCAACCCATCAGAAAGCATCCCAACTCTTGTTCCCGAGGTGCTAGCGGCAGGCGCGGGAAAACCTGCCGTGGTTCGGAATGTTTCGGGTGTCGAGCCCATGGCGATGAAAAGCGGTTTGGGTGAGTCTCAAAAGTGCCTTGGGACTCCAAAATGTGTGGTTTCCCTTCAAGGTGTCCCTCTTAAAGCACCGCAAAAGAGCTCCCTGCTTCCCTCGAAAAGACACCACAATGTCCATCGCGTCTCAGAAAACTAGGGAATGACCCTGACCGAAAACATGCTGGAGGATTCCTCGAAGGTTGTTTGAGAAGCAAGATTGGCTTGTACGCATACCTGGCACCGGAGTTATAGCAAACTCCCTTTTAAACCTTGAAAGCCTTGGTACAACGTCGAGTGTTGGGCGCTGAAGTTCCCTTGGTATGGACATAATGGGACATGCCAGGGTCGATGGAGTGTTCTGAGAGTAATGGAAGTTGACAGGTCTGGAAGATCATGCTTTGACAAGTCTGCAAATCCAGGCTTGTTGCAAAGAGGGCACCCTCCCACCCCTGTTGTAACCATGCTAGGGTTGGAAAAAAGGTATTAGAAATCCAGTTGTTTAATCCTCTTCAGGGATCCCTTCACATCAGGAACCTGAGGATTGCCGAAGGCAAGCTGATACCAGCTGGCACCGGCTTCTGATAGGCTGTTTCTAGGCCATGCGGGTAAACAGCTCATGGAGGGGCGGCACTCATTCCAAGGGTCCAAGAGGCTAACCACCATTTTGGGGGGGGTCCCCAAAAGAATGACACACACACACACACACATTACGCCAATCATCGAGCTCTAAAAGCTGGCTTGGGGTCCATCACAGGAGTCTTAGGGTTTCCCCAGGCAATCCAAAGGTCCAGTAGTGGTCGTTTTGGTCCAAAGGACGTCATGTTCGATTCTTGGGCCTGAGATGCCCCCCCTTGGTTGGTTTTAAGGGGCGACCAAGAGCAAAACAACAATTTGTGTCCCTAAAAAGAAGACACACCCGAATAAATGATGTCCACCAAAGGGTCACTTAAAGCTCGTGCCCAACGGACTGCTTTTTCTCTCTCGGTTCAGGCGATGCCGGGTTAAGGCCGGACTCGCCTGCGATTCGCCGAAAAACGGGTTGCAGGCTTTTGGGCTCTCAGACGGAATCAACGGGGGTAGGCATGAACCGAAAAAGGATAGGAAGCCACAAGGACAAGACAATTGGCTATGATATGCCATAGGAACCCTATCAAAAGGGGGGGTCCCTGGTTGGAAGGTGTGTGTGTGTGTGTGTGTGTGTTGTTTTTTTTGCTCCTAGTGGCACAGGCCTTCGTCTTGGCAGGCGGTTGGTTGGTCGACATGGCTCTGGAGCAAAGTGTTACTTCGGCTTGGTTAGGCAGAGACGATGTGTGGCATCGCTGGGATTGAGCATGGGTTTGTCAAGGGGCTTGCGGGCGTTTGCCGGCTTCGGCGCTCACTTTGCCTTTGCTCGGGCGTGCTTTAGGAATGGTTTGGTTGGTTCGGCGGGTTTCGGGCTTGGGGCGTTGCTCCAAGCTGCACACCCACAATACCCCAATGCAAGCCCGGCAACTGCAAAGCAGCCCTCGATACAGACCAAGCCCGAAAGTAAAACACAAAATCCCACCGATTCACATCATCTCGGACCCTGCCTCAACCAACCTATCGCAACACGCTCCAAGCTCTGCCCTGACTGACCTCCCAATCAGCCGGAACCCTTCCCTGAAGCAACCGCGCAAGTGTGAAAGTAGCACCAAGACTGGCGAACAGAGCCCCAAACATGTTCACACTAGTACAAATCCGCTGCGATTTTGCCCGGCACACGGGCCCTAACCCAGTACCAACCGAAGCCCCAGCCTGGCTGAACTAAATCGCCAAAACCCTGAACCCAACCCTGAACGTGCCAGAGGTGAAGAAAAACAAAAAACAACACGCCAGCCTCCCTGGTTCCCGCAAACAGGTAGCAAGGAAGGGTACCGAGCCTCACAAAAGGACCCATACTGTCGATTTTCGCACCAGGGATGAAACCCAGCTGCTTGTTTATGCCCCCCACCTTGAAGGGATCTGGATCCCCCCCAAAACCCCGCATTCTTGTGCCAGGTGTATTGATGGGTCAACATTTCAGGCAGCAGATGCCTGAAGCAAGCAGGAACGCAAACTCCGGCATTGACGCATTCCGAAAATCGACCTGGCAACCCAATTTGTCTCATGAACTGGATGTTGGTCAAACGGAAAGTCAAAATGAAACCGGGGACCGATCCCTGCCACTCTGGGCTGTTAGGTGCGATTGCGATGTTTTTCATTGAGGAATTCGTTCAGTGTATTTCCTGGAGATGTGCTTAAGAATATCTTGTATTTCCTCCGTTGGCTTAAAAGGAAATCTAGCACGCCTGGAAATACGTGTATTTGTTTCGCGAACTCACGCACATGGCGGTTTCACAATCGGGACGGGCTTGACTTGGCCTTGAAGTTTGCCTGTGTCCCAATCGCAGGCAGGAGGACATCCTGAAGCCGAAGGACAGTGTCATTTCCCCCCCACTTTTCGAAGGCTTCCAGTTGCTTGAGACTATTTGTTATTTCCCCTGTTGGTTTTAAAAGGAATCTATCACTACTGGACATATGTGCGTATTTTTGCCGGGGGGCTTCAGCAAGAGGGAGGGTGTATTTATAAAAGATGCGAAACTTCAAGGTGACCTCCTTGCTGAGTTTGGAGGAGACATTTTGCTTGTGGCGCTTTTTTCGGCCAGCGGGAAATCGGGTTGCAATGCATGACAGGGCAGCTTGCCCAGTCAAGGGTTTTGGATGGAGCAGGTATAAACCACTTTACAGATATGGCGGTTTGAATTTTCAGAGTTGAAACCAGAAGCGGGGACGGTCAACACAAATCCTCCCAAAATTTGATGTCCCACTACGGATCCCTACTCAAAGTTCACCTTCTTTGTTCCGTCTGTTTTAAAACGTCAGGCCATTGGGCCCTTGAAATCCCTCGCTTCGGGCGCTGTTTTCAGGAGGCCGATGCGTTGCTTGCTCAGAATCCGGGGAGGGAGCCAGTTCAAGTGGCTCGGTGACTGCTCCCGCTCTTGAAGCCGGCCTGAATGTGATGGGTGAAAAGGTCAGAAGTGGTTCCCTTCAACCTGGCACTTAGCCGACTTAGGTTGAGAATCGGGGCCAAAACCAGTCACCAGTCTGTCGCATAGGTGTCCTTTTTGGTTGATTTGGTTGAAAAATAGAGGGCCCTGGTTTACCTGGTTCAATCAACTACCAGGCCCATCTATTTTCCCAAAAAGGACACCTATGGTCAGTCAGTCAATGCTCCCGTTGCGCCGGAGCTTGCAATGAATGGCTTGAAGCTGCCTCGCCCAGGCCGGAAAGGCCAGTCTGCCTTTGTCCGCAGGCAGGTTGCAGGGTGCTTTCGGGGCTCCTGGGGGGGGCGGGGGGGGCATGGTTGTTTGTTGTTGGGAAACATGTTAAATGTTCGCTTATTGTGGTTTAGTGGGAAATCCCCACTTAACTGCTGAAAAACTATGTTTTTGCTCCCCTTCCAACGTCAACCAAGGGGGGGGGGGGGAATTGGCACCAAGGAACTCGCTAAAAAAAAGGGAGCCGGGAGAAATGTTCGACCCCTGAGATTGTTCGGCTTTGGCCCTGAAGCAACGCCCCAAAAACAGAAAGGCCTGGAGTCTCCATGACCCGAATCGAACATGGGCTCATGACTCCGTATGATTTTTAGGTACTAGATCCCCTGCCTTTATTTTCCAACTACTTTGACCAAATTATGGGCTAGTGGGTAAAGTGGCTGGGAAAAAGTGGCCTCCTGGAGGGTTCCGACCGCATGTAAAAAACGAATTGTTTCGGGTCGTTGGGGGTCCCGTTAGGCCGATGAGCGAGGCGAGGCAGCGGCTGTGGTGGGGAAGCGTCTCTGAATTTCAGCCAGTTTCCAGCCGTCTGGTTCCTTACAGTTTTAGTCTAGGTCCCCCAGCTAGGTGCCCTTTTATCGTTTCTTTTTTGGTTGGGAGGGTTCCCCTACTAAAATAGACTACAGAAAAAGGGTACCCTTATTATAAGCTCTCTACTTGGGGGGTTCCATTTGGCCCACTGAAAGTTCAACTTTTAAGCCGACCGTAAATGGGTGTGCATTTTTTGAGGGTACCCTTTTTGAGTCGCTTGCCCTACTATGGTAACTGGAAGCACTAGGTTCCCAGAAGGTTCACGAACTATGTGAACCGCACGTTTTGTTTGCGCAGCCGAGATTCGGTTCTGTTACCGCTTTTTGTGGACTGCAAAGAACAGCCAGCCCACATGGGGATTTGCTTGCTCACTTCCCCGGGTAGTAACGTTGATTTGCTCCATCTTTTTTGTTTAGGGGGGTTGTCTGCGCTTTCTTCGTCAGGACAAGTCCACCTGGAGTCCTCAACCAAAAGGTTACCTCAAACTACATAAGGGGTCGGCTGACCCCACTTTCCAAGGGTCATGGAGACAAAGGTTCTAAGAATCTCTGGCGGCGCCTTTGGTTTCAAAGGTGGATCGGATGCCTCCCCGCTTGGCAGCTTTCCGCAACACGGAAATCCCGAAGAAAAGCGGTGGTTCCAGAAACGTGCAATCTGGCTCCGATTCTTGGGGATGCTCAAAACTGGGCAGGTAGCTATAAGGACGTCCACCATTGCTTTGGTCGCAAAATATGAAATCACGCGCTGCCAGGCAGCGAGCCTGGACATTTGCGACGAGACTCCTCTTCCCGCGGTCGCAGCTGTTCTTGCAACGCCCAAGAAGACTCACATGGCGCGCCTCCTTCGCGCGGCGTTTTCCCTTCGCCCGGCGATTTTTCGACTCGGCATCTTCAAGAGATGGGTCCGCCGCGAAGGCTCCTTGCCATCGGATGCCCCTCCAGCAGCCTTGCGGAGGTCATGAATGAAGAGCAATGCACTGTGGCCAGCATTGATCGAAGCGACCGGGGGAGCTACGCTGGACAGCCCACCTCCATTGATGCCTTTCTGGTGCTCGGCGAGTGTGCCCGGCTCTCAGATTCGAAAGACATGTCCCACTGTGTTTTCCTTTGGCTGCGATGTCAGAGATGTCATCTGTCTTCCCGGTTTTGTGATGCCTGTCCTTTACTTGTTTTAGGATCATAGCAAAGTTTGCAGATTCAGCACACCAAGATGAAGTTTCCGATTCTGGAGTAGACTAAATATGGAGAATCTGGACATATGCTCGTCAGCCTTTCGACCATGTTCGCCATGATCTCGACATATCAACCAAGCCACACCAACCCAAACCCCAACCCAAACCAACCCAACCCAAACCACCCCGAACCCCAACCCAAACCACCTCAAACCAAACCAACCCAAACCAACCCAACCCACCGATTCGGGTCCTGAGTCTTCCATGGCATTCATGATCTACGGCGGGCTCCTGGGCGGTTTGGGCGGCATGGGCATCGGCACGCTTGCCGCTTGGCATCGCAGCTCGTGAGCCATTCCGAGTCGCGGAGGGTTTGGAATCCGTGGTCGATGGGAGAAACCCTGGTTCAAGGGAGGGTTACCTTTCTACCCTAAAAAATTCTAGGGGGCTTGCATGGTTGTTGTTGGGAAACAATTTCTACATGTTTGCTTATTGTGGTGTGGTTGAGATCCAACCACTGAACTGCGAGCATTTTTAAATTTGTGCTCCCCTTCCAACGTCAACCAAGAATCCGGAGAGATGAGCCAGGTTGAACATGGCAGAGGAACAACCAACAGATTTTCCGGAGGTCGGCCAGGTTTCCGAGGCGATTTTTCTTCAGAGCTCCAAAAGTGGCAAGGAAACCGTCAGGAGCAGCAACTTGTGGAGATCCAGTCAATTCTGGTCAAACATGAAGAACCAGTCTGCGCGAATGGGTTTCCGCCCTGAGGCGATTATTGGCCTCGTGCTGATTTGCTGGCCGATCGCAGCTTGCAAGGCAGGTTTGGGGGGTTAGCTCGGCCATGGGTCCCCAGGAGCTTGCTGAAGTTTCGGGAAGAGATGCTGAGACCATTTCGCAGTTCGAGTCGTTTCGGGTGTTGGTTGGGGGTGGGTGGGAAACCTCTCCGGAAACTCAGGCGCCAGGGCCCAAGCCTAAAAGCTTCCGTGATCTTCCCGATGGGAATTGAGAGCCGTCCCCCGTGTCGGGCGTGCGTTTTCCGCGGGCCATCTTCCGGCGGGGGTCTTCTGCGCCCAAAACCGCGCCGCGGGGTCAGAGAGACCGCAGGTGCTGACCAGAAGATGTCGGCGCTGCTGCTGCTCGCAGGAGCCCCAGATCTTGCAAAGGGGCGCGCTTTCGCGCTTGCGCGCGCGCGGGTGCAGGGGTCGGGTGGGTGGGGGGGACTCACTGCAGCCCGCTTCTCTTGGTTGGGAAATCACAATTTGTTTCACCGGTTTTTCCTTCCGAAAGCACGAACGCCTACGATTCGTGCCGGTCTGGAAGGCCACTTTCCTTTTGAAGCTCTGTGTCCACCTCCGTGATTGTTGGAAAGAGCGTCCTGCTCTTGTCCGGTACCAATCTCATACACAAAAAAAACAGGTGGGTATCCGGAATAGGGACACTAGCATTGGGCATTGGTTGAAAAGTGACCCCCCAAAAAATGGGGTCCTCAAAACAAGCCAGGAAACCTTCCATGAGCTTCGATTCCTATTTTGAGAGCCCGTTTCAAGCCCGTCAAGCTGGCTCCCTCGATCCCTCGATCCCTCGATCCCTCGATCCCTCGATCCCTCGATCCCTCGATCCCTCGATCCCTCTCCGAGGTGCTGCAGAGAGGGCAAGGAAATCCGAAAGATAGGCACGGGGGGCAACGTGGTTGGTTTGGGGACCAACTTGTTTTGGGGAACCAAAAGGGAACCGAAACTTCTTCGAGTTTGGGTTCCATGTAAGACACCTGCCAGGAAATGTCAAGAAAGTGGTGATTCTGCTGCTCTCTGCTGGCTTGGCCGGCATGGCAGCCTTGCCGATGGCAGGCGCGGCGTTTCGGACCAGGGAGTGCAACCCCTTGGTATATTGGCGTTGGAGCCATAGCCGGTATTTGTGGTTTCCAGTGGATCGCCAGTTTACAAAGGAACCAATTGGAAGCCTCTTTCACGGGGAATCAGCTTCCACTACTTGCTGATGAGACGCTCGGACCTCCAAAGTCCCCGCCATGTGCCGCGATTTCGTGATCTCGCCGCCCTGTGTCCCATGCTTTGCCAAAAAATCAATGATGGCTTCCACCCAAGCAGGGGGTTCAACCCTGGGAGCACTCCTCTGCCTTCGACCAAGCAAATCAAGCCAAAAAGAACACGGTGCAAAGGTGTTGTTTTTTGGTTTTGGAACAAGAAATCGATGGGTTCCACTCGTTTTCATTGGTTTTATGCCATCCGTTTGCCAGGGGATCCCATCCATTTCTAGTCAAAGGGACATCTATGTGGGTGGCTTTCCCTGCCAGGTGTTGGGGTCTCCAAGACGATGTTGCATATTTTGGGGGACTGCCGTGTGCTAGTGCCAACCTGAGTCTGGGTTCAGACACGGGCCGACGCCCCAGTTGGGAGAAGACATGGGTCAGATGAGTCAAACCAAACTGTGGGTGGACGAAATACATTTCGCACCACCGAAGAAACCATGGTTGAAACCACAACGTTGGATGGTATTTACAGGTGAATTGCATCATTTCAGGGTACACTGAACGGTGGTGCGAGACGCGGATTTCGCAACTACCCACAGTATGATCATGTTCTTGCTGGTGCGAAATCGGCCGGGAATGAGAAATGACCCCAAGAATCAAAACTATCCCTTGCTGGTGATTTCCCTTAGGGAATCCCCTAAACCGGTTCATTCCATTTGACCCCAAGCAAAACCATAACCCAGTTGCCCAGTAGTGCCCTTTTTTCCTTTTCTTTTGGAAGGGTTCCCCTTTAAAGCCAAGCAACCCAAAAAGGATGCCGATTCTTTTTGTCCAATGGTTACTGGGCATCTGAGAATCTGGTTGCGCCTCAAATAAAACTTGTGAGCCGGCCTGTTGCCGCGCCCTTTTCAAGGGTACTAAACACCAGCCCCTGCTTTCCCAGTTTCCTTCGCACGCCCGCAAGCCGCCGGGATGGCGCCGTCCGTCTGCAGGGCTCCTCGGGGATCTGAAGGCCACCGGTGCCCAGGACGCCGACTGCGCCGCCAGGCCTTCGTGTTGCTTCGCTTTCGCAAACGGGCAGGGCGTTGCAAGCTGAAACGAAAACCAAAAGCTATGGTGGACCTCACTGCTCTTGGGTGTCATGTGTTGTGTTTTTTTGGTTTTTGGAGGACGAAAACCAAAAGGATGTCTGGTTAACCAAAAGGATGTCTGGTTAACCAACAGGATGTCTGGTTATCGCTTCTTGAAGTCAACTTCAGTGATTTTTCTTTTGGGGGGGGATCTCCAAAACTGGCGTATAGTTTAGGGTAGACTCAAGATGAGTCATATTATTTTGTTGTACTCAGATGTGGGCCAAGGGTGTGACTCCAGGTACTTTGCAGGCGAAGGTGCAGCATGGATGTCCGGATGTAGCCTTTTATGCATGGGTAAGGGGCTCTGGCCCGGGCCCCTCCATGACCGGTGGCAAGGGGACTCTTCGGAACGAGTATGATTTGCCCAGAACTCAAAGATCTGCAACATTCTCTTCCAGTTGAGGTCCGTTACCAACTCCTTCTACTATGAAGGATCCCCCCCTTCCCTCAAAAAGTAACGGATGGTACAAAGTCCCAAAAGCACTGTGAGGACGGGACCATCCCTACAATCCCGAAATAGGGTTTACCATGGTACCCAGAGGTACTTCCCACGTCAATTCCAAGAGTGGCTTCCAGGTCCTTCCTGCAGTCCGCCTTGCCATCACCTTAGCCGCCCGAGGGCCTCGGAGCGTGGGACCTCTCAAAAAACAGCACCGTGGCAAACAAAAAAAAAAGAAACGCGGAACGCGCTGAGGGGCGACATTGCTGGCATCGGACAAGGCCAGGACGGGATCAGGAGAATCGCCCACAACAGTTTCTCCAACAAATCCCTGCCAGTTTCTGGACGTTATACTTTTTGAGAAGGACATTGTGGTGGCACTAAAGCTCAGACTTCAAGTAAGATCAGGTGACAATCCGGAAACCAAGCATAGGCAAGAACAGGTTTGCGTTTCTCGGTCGCTACAATGTTGGGTCCTCGCAAACTGCGTTGCTTTAATTCATTTGTGTCGTCAAAATAGGAATCGGACCCCTCAAAGTGGGCGTCCTTTTGCTTTCCCTTGACACCCCCCCGCAAGTAGCGAGTCTCAAAAACCATGCCGGAAGGCGCCGGCGAGCTCTCAGAAGGAAAGCTAATGTTTGTGTGTTGTTTTTTGAAGGTACCTATTGTTGGGTGGTTTTTTTTTGGAAACACAAATGGACACCATTGTGGGGAGTCCATATTTGGCTATGAGTTTCAGCCTAAATGATGTCCGCCAAAGGACCGATATTGTTCAGATATGGTGTAGGCTCCTTCTATGCCAAGCTTGTCCTAAACAAGGGGTCGGCTAAAGAACAACCCTGCGCTTGTTCTGCGCTGCTGGAGCTTTTTGGGAACCCATGCCCGTCGCCCTCTTTGAACTGTTTTTGCCTAGCGGACTCGAAACCGGCGTTGTTTTTGCGCAGGTCAGAGTCAGGCGTTTGATTCAAACTCCACGAGGAGGTTGCAGGCGGGCTTCGCCGTGTGAAGTACCGTCAAAATTACTTCCATTGAGTTTAGTATTCGGTGTTTCATTGATATTGTGAAAATGCACAAAATGGCAAACGATCTTCGGACTCTCGAAAAAACGATACCCCTGGAAAAGGATGGAAACGCTGGAAAACAATAGGGGACCAAACTAAGCAGCGAACCGGCCGTAAGTAAGTAGTTTCGACCGTGCCTCGTGTCGGCTCTCCTTGTGCTACCACCCGCAAAATGTGCAGTGCTGGTTTGACAGCCAGTTGTGCAGGGCTCCTTAATATTAAAAGATACATGTTGCCCATTTGAAGCATGTTTTTTTCCACCAAAATAAGGGGAAACCACCATTGACAAGGCAATGTTCAGGTGTATAATGTAAGGATTCCTGTTATGCCATGGTCGGGAACACCCTTGTAATTGGGGATTGTAGGGATGATCATTAGCTCGTTCTCTGCTCAGGGTTGAGATAACCAGCACAAGGATTGCTACTGTGGATGGATAACATCCTGCATCTATGAATACAAACATAAACCAAGTCCAAACTGTTGCAAAGCGGAACTACAAGAGGCAACAAACACAAATTGGCCATGTTTAAAGGGTGTTCTACTACTTGGTTCGTTTTAGCTTCTATAGCAAGGCCACTGCTCATCCGAGTTGCCCTTTTGTCAACATCCATAGTAACGGGCACCAACATGTCAAGACAACCAGCAGCAAACCCCTACGAACCATCGAACACCGCCGAAAACCCCCTACGGGCCAACATTTCAGTAGGTGGTAAGCAGTATAGTCAGACCTACACTTGTTCATCGTAGAACCCAAAGCCGATAAGCGGAATTGCTTCTCAATGAACTCTGCAAGGATTTTTGTTTTCACATGGAACCCAAACAGTTGTTTGTTCAGAGCAGATTGTTTCCCATGGGAGAATATGTGGGAGAGTAACTTCACTGTTGCCTGCACGTCTGTGTTAGTTTTTTGGGTCGTTTGGTTCTGTTCATTTTTCGTCTGCAAAAAACAGACTCCTTTTGTTGCAAGCCCATATCAAGAGTTGCTCCCATTTGCCCCATGTAGAATGTTGGTTTTGAAGGGTATCGATTTCACGATTTCACTCCTGGACATGTTTTTCGCCTTTTTTTCCAGGAGACCTATCCACAAACGGAGGACTTAAGGGCTTTTTGTTTGTCCCTATCCTTTGCTGTGCCGGCACCGGGTGCCGGCATATTTTTTGGGACCGTACAGCATGGTTGTTGTTGGGAGACATTTTACATGTTTGCTTACGGTGGTTTAGTGGTTGAAATCCAAATCCACTTACCTGCCAAAATTTGAGAATGGTTGCTCCCCTTCCAACTACAGGAACTCTACCCACCTCCCTCACGCCGCTTCGCGCTCGAAGGCTTCGGCTTCCTTCCTGGGCCTGGTGACGGCTCAGCAGCAGGCGAGGCGATTTGTCGGGAGTCGATTTGCGCGACCCAAGAATCGCCTGGCCTGGGCTGTGGTAAAACCAATGGCGCCATTTTGGTGGGTGAATTCACCACCCATTTCAGAGCCTAGTTTAGTGGGGGCAGCTAAGTGCTAGCTTGAAGGGAACCACTTCTGACCTTTTCACCCTTTAAAAAAACAGGCCGGGCTCAAAAGAGGGAGCAGTCACCGAGCCATTTGGCTGTGGGGCAAACCAGTGGAATCCCATTTTGGGGGATTTTTGCACCACCCATTTTAGAACCTAGTTTAGTGGGGATTGGGATCTTCACTGGGGGTACGGGATTTTGACCCATGGCCAAATCACTTGGTCGCAGGGATGCAAAGCGCAATCAAATTCATGGAGACTATTTTTGGTTGGTTTCGGAAAGGGGAAACCAAAAGGAAACCCTAAAGCCATTTGAATCGGGCATGGACCGATTAAACCTTGATTTCTGGATTTAGCAGGAAAAGATGTTATTCGATGTGTTAAGGGTCGTTTTTATTTATTTTATTTCTTTCTGGAGCTGGTATCCTCTTTTTGTTCTGGTCATTTATTCGGAGCTTTTAGAGGGTAAATGGGAAGCTCCTCCTTACCCACCAAACCACCAATCCAAACCACAAGCAAGAGAGAAGCTGAAATTGACCAAGCCCGCCCCCCCCCCGCCTATTGCAGACGTCCTGCAGTGCAAGCAACTGATGCAGCGAGAGCCGCGCTCATGGCAGGCGCAAACGTTGTCTTCAGCAGTCTCCTCCTTGGCAACAGCAGCGGCGCAGGCTTGGACGGCTTGTAGGGAACCCACCACATCGGGGGGAGCTGCCCTTCGGGCGTCTCTTAAAACCATTCAACAAAAAGGGGTACCCTCCAGATACACGCACCACAAATCCCATGTTTGGGGGGCAATTGTTTGGTGACTATTCGCGATCCCTAAATTCGGAGAGCACCAAACTGGTTGCTCTTTCTCTTTACCTTTCTCCTTCGCGTGCGCTTTTGCTTTCTCCTTCTTATTCTCATTGTGTTCTCCTTCTCCTTCTCTTTCTCCTTCTCCTTCTCTTCCTCCTTCTTGCTTTCTCTTTGTCTTTTTCCTTTTCTCTTTCTCTTTGTTTTTCTCATTGTCTTTGTCTTTCTTTGTCTCTTTCTGTCGCTCGTTTTCTCTCTCCAGCTCAGCGAAAAACGTGGAACGTCTTCTGCCTTGCGAAAGTGCTGCGCCCGTACCTTGCGAAAGCGTTCGCACCTGCACCAATGTCCGTGCCATTAGCTCCGACCAGGTGGCACGAACTGAAACCTGCAGAGGGTTTCATCGTTTCTTGCACATTGCTCTTCCTCCGCCATACACGCGCGCGCGTGTTTTCCGTGCGTACTTCTTCTTCTCTTGTCTGTCAGAGAGCTAACTATCAAGTACTGTCCGTACCACGGAAGCTTCTTCTAAACTTTCTTTCGAAAGGGCTCGCCAAGATGAGTCTACTTGTTTGTGAGTACTGTTCAAAGTTTCACCATCCCTTGCTTTAGTGGCTGGCGGCCTTATACCCTCCTTAAGTGTTTTGTAGCAACTTGTGTAGCAACTTTTGCAGCAACTTGTAGAACCTCTTCACTGTTGTTGGCATGGTTCCATGTGTTTTTAGCTTGTTTGGTTCTCTTCATGTTTAGGGGGGCTGCAAACAACAGACTCCTCTTGTTGACAAGACCCAGAGTTGCTTCGCCTTGCGTTTCAGAATATGTTGGTGTTTTATTCCCCTGTTGGTTTTGAAGGGAATCGACTTCACATGTTGGTGTTGACTCGATTTCACTGCTGGACATATGTATATTTATATATACATCTGCATACATCTTGTATTATGTTTTGTTTTCCCTGTCCTCTGCCAGTGGATTTCCCCCCTAGACGGCAACTCGACTCGCCAGGCGGCCGGCCAGGATGGCGGCGCGGCGGGGCAGATCCAGGAGTCCGTGGCCCTCTTGAGGCGCGGTGCTCGCTCGAATCGAGTCTCAAATCGAGCGAAGGGGCCAAGGGTGGGAGCCCAAGGGCGGAAAGCCAAGGGTTGTCCTGTTGGATCGGTGAATTTGATTGGAAATAGATTGGTTTAAATGGGGCTGTTCTTCAACTTACCAGGGAACCCGTCCATTTTGCCAAAAGGACGCCTATGGTGGGAGGGTAAACGCCCCAAAAAGACATGTGGGGGTTGATCAACAGGTCCGATGAACATGGGACAATTGGGGAGACCACCTGCAACTCTCACCGCGAAATGGGAACAGTGACCCCTTGGTCATTTTGGGTCCAACCCCCATGTGGCTCTGGGTCAAAAATGGGTACCCAAAATGGGTTGCCCTGGTAAACGGAAACAAAGACTGAAACCGCGTAACCCTAGCTCTTTCATTTTGAGCCACGGCCATGTGGCCGCGGTTGTCAAACATAGGTACCCTTCCTCCCACAAACAGTTGGCACCTGCGGGAGGGTGCCTGGAAGCTCAATTTCCCCTTGAAGGGACCCCCTGGTGCCATGGTTGTGGGAGTGAGGGTACCCCAAAATGGGTTGCCCTGGTAAATGGAAACACACTAGAATCTGTGGTGCTTTGGCGGGTGAATTTTGACCCATACCCATCTTCAGAAGAAGTATAACATATGGGTATGGGTATGTCTTAAAATAGGGGACCCCAGAAATGGGGGATAGGCATCAAAAAAAACTTATTAGGCAGCAAAAAATATATATTCTCATTGATTTACTATTAAAAATGAAAAATCAGAGGATCAACAACAACTTTTTAGGGATGAAAAGAAAGCTTATTCATTTCGTGGCAGGCGAAGCACTTTCGCAAGGTCAGGTACAGATTTCGTGGCAGGCGCGGCACTTTCGCAAGGTGCGGTAAAGATTTCGCGGCAGGCGCAGCACTTTCGCAAGGTCAGGTACAGGTTTCGTGGCAGGCGCAATACTTTCGGAAGGTCAGGTACAGATTTCGCAGCAGGCGCAGCACTTTAGCAAGGTCAGGTACAGATTCGCGGCAGGCGCGGTGCGGTCCAGATTTCGCGGCAGGCGCAGCACTTTCGCAAGGTACGGTGCAGAGTTTGACGCAGGCGCAGCATTTTCGCAAGCAGTGAAGAAAAATATACAGAGATATAAACATGAAGAGAAAGTGAGAAAACAGAGAGAGAGAGAGAGAGAGAGAGAGAGAGAGAGAGAGAGAGAGAGAGAGAGAGCGAGAGAGCGAGAGAGCGAGAAAGACAGAAAGAAAGAAAGAAAGAAAGAAAGAAAGAAAGAAAGAAAGAAAGAAAGAAAGAGAGTGATGATCGAGGAAGTGATGATTCAGCAAAGGGTGCGTTAAGCTTTGTACACATTTGGAAAATCAGCGGGGGGTTGGGGCGGGCGGCAGCCCCCCCATGATGGTCGAAGAAGTGATGATTCAACAAAGGGTGGTGATGCTCGAAGAATTGATGATTCAGCAAAGGGCGCGGTAATCTCTGTAAACATTCTGAAAATCAGCGGGGGGTTTTCGCCAGCGCCTGCATCAATCCCACAGCGGACAGCTCAAGCTGCTCTTTGCTTTCAATCGATAAGATGCAGACACAGCACGATGCCTCCCATGCGTGTGAGTCGCAAAGCTCAGTGTCAATCACTGCAACCTGGCCAAATTCCACTGATTTTTTCCGATCTGCAGTCTGTGTGCGAGGCTCAGCCTGCGTTGCCTCAAGCTCTAGATCCTCCGCCATTGCCCGAAGCCGGCTTCAGTTGCACCCGCATAGCCAGTCCCAAGGGTGACGCGCTTGAGGAAACTTCCAACGCAAGCTTGGCGTCAAGTCACAGCTTGGTCTGTCGTGCGCGCAGCCTCCCCTGCAAATTCACATGACGCACCTTCTGTTTTGACCCTACTGGATTCTTCAGACTCAGAAACAAATAGCGGCACCCGGGGCGTGGCCGGCTGCTCGTGCGTAGGAGTGTACGCGTGCTGCGTGTGTGGCGGGTGCGACAACATGTCTGCGCAGCAAACATTGCCACTCATGAGCGGGGGCATGTTCCATAGTGCCGCGGCTTTGTCCCAGAGCGCAGACTCCATTACACATGCGCTTCTGTGCATGGGCGTGTCGCTTGATGCAGCGCAGTCTGCAGCCCACGAGTGCCCTCATGACATTCACGGCGCTTGGACTGGGCATGTTCACCCGAATCGCGCCGGCGCCGGCTGCGACTGCAAAGCTCGGTCCTCTCAGGCCCAGGAGCGGTTGACTCGGATGTTGTTATCTTATCGGAGGATGACGGTGATGCCACTACTGCTGCGCAGTCCCTGCCCGACATGCCAACTGTGCCTGCAAGCCGCTTGACGCGCGGAAGCGCCACGTGCCCAGACGAAAACAGTCCCTTTGCCAGCGGTATGCCTGCCCCACATTTCTTCGCGTGTCCGCGCGCAAGCTTTCATGAAACGGAAGAGCCTGCGCTTGAGAATCTTTAGCCATTGCAGGGCCAGTCACCCTGGGACAGCCTTGCTTCTTGAAGGACCCAGCTGCTGAAGTAGACTACTACTTCAGAGCAGCTGCAAACAGCCAAGGCGCTGTGCTCACGGATCAGCAATTTTGGCGCATGATCCCATCCCGGTCTGGCAGAGGTCGTTGCTGACTCAGTGCACCATATTGCTAGTTGCCGGACACTGAAGTTGTCCGTCGATCAAGCAGCCCACTTGCCGAACGTGCTGGGTTTCACAACAGCTCTGCCGGTGGCAGTAGCTTGTGAATACTTGCACATGGGCTGCGGGTTTCCCCGCTACTTTGTCTTCGACATGTTCCAAGCATGCCTGGCATCTTGCCAACATAAATCGTTGTCTGTCGCACTGTACGCCGACCAAAGCCAAAAAATTGCATGCAAGGCCCGCTGGTGGGCCTGCCCAACAGGCGACCCCAACGCCGGAAAGTCACCTACCTTCACTGCCATATCCAACGCATTCACGTCTCTCGTCCGCGAACACGCTGCCTTGTTCCACACCATGCCACATTACTGCAGAGTTGGCAACAACGGCAAAATTCAGGAACGCGTGCGCAGCCTTGAAGAGTTCTGCTGCTGTGGGGTCCGGAAGCCAAGCCTACTGGACCCCAATTTTCCAATGAAAGAAACAATTAATTGACGTGCCCAAGTATCTGGACTTGACACGGTGGCTAGAATGTGCCAACGGCGGTAAGTTCGAGTGGGGAACAGACACGGAAAGAAAAACTCGGCAGCAAGAGAAAAAGGTGCTGCCGCGTACTGAGGCTAGCGACCGCCAAGCCCAGCCAGCTGCGGGCGTGATTGGGGAAAGCGGCGTCGGCGCCGCTGCCCAGCATCGCTTCGTGCCTCTTGAGTTTAACCCCACCAACGTCAACATGTGCCTTTTCCGACAGTTCAAACTTTTCCGCAAGTGGCGGGTAACTGGCGAACAACAACATGAGTGTGGCTTCGCGGCACGCATCCTCATGTCCCCATGCGCACGTGCCATTGTTGACAACGCCACAGGTCTTCTTGACTCTAGCCCCGCAGAAGAGGTGTTGCGAGCGCTGTGTGGCTTCGCACTGTCGAGCGCTGGGGCCCGCGCGCAAATCTTCGAAGCGACAGACTAGACCTCTTCAGAAGCGCAGCGTCACACCCGCAGCTTCTACTACGAGCTGCATGAGCACGAGCAAGAGGGAGGATGGGGCTCTGCGGCCAAAGCAGCTTTGGGCACAATGGTACCACGTGCCCAGCGCAGCTTGCCTGACGTCCTTTATCGAGACAGCTCACGAGCAACGCTTCGCTCAAAGCTTGTCTGACAATGCTGTGAAGTGTGGCATTTGCCACTTTGATCTGCGTGTTGTGCACAGCTGCAGTGTGGTCGACAGTGAGGTGGCCGAAAACATTCTCCTCCACTCCAGCTCGGGCACGCGGCGACAGCCCCCCCGGGTGCTTTTATCGGGCACAAAAGACCTCAAGGGTGCGGCCAAAAGCCAGGACCGCGCTGCCATCCTCATAAAGGACAAGCCCGCCGCTTGCCCAACAACCCTAAGGCACGTGCAATTGAGCTGCATCGCGCGCCTATGAGTGAGGCTGTGGCTGCCACCTTGTCCCGGCACAACATTCCAGTGTCTTTCTGGAAACCGTGCGCCACGCGCGTTCTGAGCATGTCCGGCGCAGAGAAGCGTGCCCGACCACTGCCTCAGCCTGCTGAATGAACCTGCCCAGCCGCAGCCTGTTGGAGGCAAACAGCAAGGCCGCCCCGCGCGTGCCAAAACTGAAGATCTCTACACAGTACGCAGCTCGGTGCAGCGCGAGCAAGGCTTTGAAGGCCAGGCAGAATTTGCGACGAAGGAAAAAGAATGGGCCAGCTCACTGGTTGAGGGTCAACATCTCAACATCAGGCACCAGTTCTACTCATATCCTAAAGGCTACAAAGTTCTGCTTTGGTGTAACTCATGCAAGGCATGCAAGGACAGACGCGGGTGGAAGGTTATTCCTCCTACAACGCAACTACCCGGCAAATAGAGCGCGAATTTACGCTTCTGTCGCACTTCAAAGCCACAAAAGCTTGGACACCCCTAACAGCAACGACAGAGAACGCTCTAAAGCAGTATGTTGCTGAGCGCGCTCACTTTAGCACCCAAGACTTGGTGAAAGTAGTCGAGAAACACCAAGCTACCCGGCCGACTGACCAATGGCTTACAACACGGGGAAGAAACCACCGGCAGCATAAAGGCACTGCAGCGAATCGCGCCGCTGCCTTCAAGTGGGTCAAGTCTGACTCGGATCAGCTTGAGCGGCAGCTGGGCCATGTCCCAACCGCGTCAGCAGATACCTGCGGGTTGCGGGCGCGCTTCACGAACAAGATTACACCACTGTTGTGTTCTGCCACCCCGCCCTGATGCACACGACCTTGCCACGCTTATGAACAAGCAGCACATCAAATTGTGCGGCGATGGCACGTTCCGACTCACAGAAGGGGAGTGGATTTTATTGACTGTGGGCACATTGACCAAGCACTACGCGCCCGCCGACGGCGTGTATGCTTTCCGCACAACTTTCAATCCACTCATGTTTGCGCTATAACTAGCAAAGAAAGCAAATGCACATACGGCTTCTTCTTCAAGGCCTTGTGTGGGTGTGCCTGGCAGTTTGCCAAGGTCGACTTGGCTGCCACATGCTTCCAATACCATGCAGACTTACACGCCGGGGAAGATCTTGCCCAAAAAGAAGTCTTTGCCTTGGCCAACAGAGTTGCAGACTGGGCCCATGTCACCGGATCTTGCGCGCAGAGAAAAAAAGCGCGCGGTGACCGGGCAGCTCTTTTTCGCGCTGGCATATTTGCAACCATGAAAAACAATTTGACAGCTCAAGGGCAACGCCTTCTGCCCCTGATCGAGCGTGCCGTCCACGTCCTCTGTGTTGCCCCGACCGCTTTGATTTTCAATGACATTGTCGTTTGTGTTTTGCGCACGCTTCTTGCCCAAGTGCCACCAGAGCGCAAGGCTGCAAAAGCGCTGCAGCAGTGCCCGCTGCGAAATCTGGACCTGACCTGCTTTCGCAACGAAATCTGTACCCGACCTTGCGCCTGCCGCGAAATGGGTGCCTGACCTTGCGAAAGTGCTGAGCTTGCCGCAAAACTTGCACCTGACCTTGCGAAAGTGCTGCGCCTGCTGCGAAATCTGTACCGCACCTTGCGAAAGTGCTGCGCCTGCCGCGAAATCTGTACCTGACCTGCGAAAGCATTGCGCCTACCTTGCGAAAGTGCAGCGTCTGCCACGAAATCTGTACCTGACCTTGCGAAAGTGCTTCGCCTGCCACGAAATGAATAAGTGTTTTTGATCCCTAAAAAGTGTTTTGTTGATCCCAGATTTTTCATGTTCAATAGTAAATCAATGAGAATAAGTTGTTTGATGCCTAATAAGTTTTTTGATCTTCCGGAATAAGTTTTTTTGATGCCTAATATGTTTTTTTGATCCCTCACCCAGAAAATTGCTGATGTCCTTTAAAGGGTTTCCCTTTAAATCCCCCAAAAAAAGAAGTATCCTCAACAACAACAAAAATGATGCGTGCGTTTTGAGGGTACCCCCTTTTTTACGGGTGGTTTCAATGGAAGCCAAAAAGAAACCAACCTTGGGTCCCCTACATTGTCCCTTTGCAGCTGGATTTCCGACCCCTTTTTGGTAGTGAAAGAAAAATGAAAAGGACAACAACCATAGGGAGCGATGATTTTCAGACCCCCGTCCCGTCATCTACGGGAAGGCATTGGGTGTGATCATCAGCCTATTGTCGAGTCGAGTCAGAGAGCTAAAGGATGATGACGGTGCTCTACTTGGGGGGTCCTTATTTAGATATGAACAAATTGGGGACCACATCAAATTGGAAGGGTTTCCTTTTGGTGTCCTTGCAAATGCCAACCAAACGATTAATTTTCCAGCATTTTGAGAAACATCCATTTCAAGTCTTGTGTAGAGTTGGCAGCAACGGCCGTCTGACGATGGGACTTACGAATTCCCAAGGGAGGCACGATGAATGGGCCTTCTCCAAAACTGGTGTATATTTCAGGGGAGGATTTCTATGGAATAGAAATAGAAATTTTAGTTGTCTGCGCATCTGAGATCTGAGAATCTGGGCCAAGATAGAAGTGAATATGGCTCAAGACAGATTCTATTCGTGGCATCCTCCCCATGTCAGGGCCTTAGGTTTCCTTTTGGTTTCTCTCTAGATTTCAGCCTAGCCGCAAGAAGATCCAAAAACGGTAACCTTACAAAGAGGACACCTGTTTGCATGGGTCCCTTGGTGTGGCAACAACGAAGGAAACCCCTTGGTGTGGCAACAACCAAGGAAACCCCTTGGTGTGGCAGGAATGGTCATGGGGATGGGAATCGACGGGTACCACACATTGGTTTCCTGGAAAACCCCCCGCCCTTTGATTTGCATGCCAACTCAACACACATACCCAGTTGCCTGGCGATCCTCCTTGGGACACATTTTATATTTTTGCTTGTGGTTGAGTGGTTGAGAGATCCAAATCCACTTAACGTTAAATGTTTAATCAACTTGTGCTCCCCTTCGTCCAGCAAGATCTGAGTCCCCTTTTACGATCCAACACACCTACCCACGATCCTCCGAGAGGCAGATGCAAGATGGCCTCAGAAGCCAAATCACCGTGCAGGGCAGCAAGTCCGCCTCTCAGCGCGGGCAACATCGCAGGCCCCAGGTTTGGACCACGAGTCACTCCGTGGGGAAAAAGTATCATCTGTTTTCAGGGAATTTACGTTTAAAAAAAGGGGTCTGTTTTGTGGTTGGATCCCCGAACATGGGTGGTGTTCCTTGTGTGGTTTCCCTTGGACACCAACCAAAAAAGGGGTACAGACCCAGATGTATGTTTGTTTGTGTGTGTGCATGTTCAGGGAACCCGGTTTAGGCTGCTTTGAAGGGACGCCAAAAGGGACACCACCATTGTTGGGGTCCCATAAGATACCAGTGGTGGATGAATACCTCATTGCCTGAATCTGTGCGATTTGCACTACGCTGTTTGCCACGGAGAAATCGGTCAGTAGCTGTGTGCAGAAACCATGGTTGTTGTTGGGACACATTTTACATTTTTGCTTATTGTGGTTTGGTGGGAAATCCCCACTTTACTGCTAAAATCTAAGTTTTTGCTCCCCTTCCAACGTCAACCAAGAAACAGCTGCTATATTCATATACCTACATACTGCTGCGAACAAATCACCCCCGAGTCAGGAAATCCGAGGTTGGCGAGTCAGTTGCAACCATCGAGGCGGCCTTCCGCTGTTCATCATTCCGTACATAGTTGTACTCTGGTATATTTCTCAAATCTCGGTTTTTCTCGTGACTCATGTTCAAATTGCGAGGTGTGCTGCCCAGGGTTGGCAGGTCCCGGATATTGATTGCTTGTCATGGTTGTTGTTGGGACACATTTTATTGTGGTTTAGTGGGAAATCCCCACTTAACTGCTAAACAAAAACGTTTGCTCCCCTTCCAACGTCAACCAAGTTGTGACGGGACCTTCGAAAACCCCCAAATTGAGAAACTGGACAAGGGGCGCAATTGGGCAAAACTCCGCGCAAAGAATTGTGGAGAAAAATGTATGTGTCCAACTCGTCTAGCTGCTTGTTTGACCCCTGAAGCTGTTTGCAACTTGGTGGTTCATGGTTGTTGTTGGGAAACATTTTACATTTTTGCTTATTGTGGTTTAGCGGTTGAGAGATCCAATTCCACTTAACGTGGTTAAAATGTGAGTATTTTTGCTCCCCTTCCAACGTCCACCAAGGGTTCATGGCGCTCAAAAACGTGTCAAGGCGCTGGCATCCCGAACCAATCTAAGGTGCGAGTTCTGCGAGCTTTGCTGTGGCACGCAGGCCGGGACCAGCCCCACCAAAAACTTCCATTTGCTGAAATGAATATCTTTTCCCCCTGTTGATTTCAATGGGAAACTCTCACTACTGGAAATATCTTCATTTTTTCCAGGGGACTTAAGCAAATGAATGTATAGGGAAATGGGTGTGTGGGGTTGTCTCAAAATGGGGGACCCCCAAAATGGCGTCGGTTTTCCTCTTGGTGTTCGATTAAACCAACCCCAACAAGGGTGCCCTTAAAGCAAAGACGCAGTCGTGTCTTTTTTTATGGGACCCTTGGTGTCCACTGTATCCAGGCCGGTGCGTGGGTGCCAGACCTTCTTGTACAACTGGAGGCGGGAGTTGTAGATGCCTGAAAAAGGGCGTCGGATGCACAGACGGTATGAGAGGCAGAGAGAACGTTCACATTGATCTGTGATACACAAACCACGCACACACACACACACACACACACACACATGCGCGCGCGCGTGTTTGCATTTCACTAGATGCAGTCAGACAGCATGACGCCAGGGTGGTGACGTCAACTCCGTCGTCACGCTCAGCAGCGACTTTCAGGCGAACTGATAAGCTGGAGCACGCAAAGGAATTGTTTGACTTCTATTTACTTAAGAATAGTTTTGTCGTTCCCTTGTTGGTTTAAAGGGAATCGATTTCACTACTGGACATATTATATCCTTTTTTTCAGGGGGCTTAAGCAAATGGAAGCTCTTCCCATGTCCTTTTTGATCTCCCCGGAAGGAGATCATCCCATGGTTTGTCTCAAAAACGGGGACCCCCCAAAGGAAAAATGTCTTTCCCTTTGAACAAACCCCAAAACGGGTACCCTCCAAAAAGGACACCCATATATTGAGCTGGCCTGAAAACATGGTTGCAACCAACACAGGGCTGCCCTGAGCCAAACTCCACCAGGGCTGTCCTTTGGTTTTCTTGCCGAGTTTCTAGTCAGGTCGATGGGAGAAACCCTAGTTCAAGGGAGGGTTGCCTTTCTATTTTTGGGGGTTTCTGGGGGGGCTCATTGCATGGTTGTTGGGGAACCTTTTACATTTTTGCTCGTGGTTTAGCGGAGAGATCCAAATCCACTTAACGTGGCTCACATTTGAGAACTTTTGCTCCCCTTCCAACATCAACCAGGATTGGAGCCCCAAGGTGGCAACGCGGCCTTCCCGCGTTCTCCCCGGTTGCGCAGGGGCAGCCTGGTTCTCGCATCAGCGGTTTGGGAGATGCGGCCACACTGGCAGGCGCGGAGATGGGATCGGGAACCTGAATTTCGGCGAACTTGGCTGGTTTGGAACCAAAGAGAGCCCGTCCATTTTCGTGGCTTAGGTTGCAAAGTATGCTTTTTGGATTTGACGTGTAAACGGAGGGTGTTTTGTTTCTTCTTCTTTTTTCTGTTTGGCTTTCCGCGGCATTTGTGGCTTTGGCATTTCACACAACCACCCCGTCCATTTTGTGGCTTAGGTTGCAAAGTATGTGTTTGCAATTGACGTGTACACGGAGGGTGTTTTTTCCTGTTTGGCCACCCCCATCACCAGCAACGCTCTTTGCGTCACAAGCAAGTGGCTTGAGTATTTTGAGGTCAGTGGCGCACGTAGTGCGCTGCGTGCTATTCCGTTGGTATCACTATTGCAGAACCCCTTGTCAGACAGCTTCGGATTATTCAACAGGACCATACCAACCAGGTGACCCCGTTGCCGATCCGGGGATAGTGTTGAACTCTTCGATTTTGGCAAACTCCGGCCACCAGCAGGGTTTTCCTTGTTGGCGTGTTTTGGACGGATTGGGATTGGTCGGGCCCCCACGTTGGAGAAAGCCCAGATAGATGTCCAAATTGGGGGGGTTGATCAGAAGGTTCTTTACATGGGATGACCATTGAGGAAACCACCAAAAACGACGACATGCACCACATGGGACAAGTTACCTGTGGTCATTTTGGGGTTAGGAATATTGATCACCCCCCTCCCCGTGTTAAACCAATGGGTTGGTGAAGCGGTCGAGACCGCTCGCTCTTCTGCGCGAGGTGGTGCCATGGGCATGTTGCAGTCAGCGGTGGAAGCCGGTCCCGTCCGAGCCTGAGCCATTTGTGCTGGTGCTAAGAAACCAACGGTAAATAGAGCCCTCACTTGCGCACTAAGTCCCCCCAGGTAGCTATCACTAGGGCTTCGTAATCGAATTCAAGCGCGCACGAAACGGACTTGCACTAGGGCTACTAACCACTTATGAAGCACGCCTCCAGAGTAAGGCGAAATGGGCGCAGAGGCCAAAGGACTGTCCTCCCTATGGGCATGCAACCGGGGGACTGGTCTGGAGGTAATACTTGGAGTGGCTTGGGCTGACAGATGCTTTTTCAGAGGTGCTATCCCATCAGCTGCAAGCCTCGGGGCCAGCTGGCTCATGTGCCTTGCGACATGCGCCTTTTGGTGGTTTGGTTCTCGTGTTGTTTGGGTGCAAGACGTACATTCGACATTCAAGCCATTCAAGCGCCGCGCCCAAAAGCGCGGTGAGCCCCGCTGTCTGGAAAGAGGTGAACATGACTCGTGATTTCAAAGGGACCCCTGGGGGGTCAAATGCGGCACAGGGTCAGCCTTTACCATGACCTGCTTGCCATGGTTTGTTATACCCAGGGCTCCCTGGACTTTCCGTGGGTGCGGCAGAAAACAAGCATCACTTGTTTGGCCCAGGTGAGTTTTTCCAGGAGTGTCTCAAGAGGGTGAGCGGCTCGCTCACCATGGCAAGTCCCGGTTCAGCCCGGGCTTCCTTCTTATTTTCCTCCCGTGCGGCACCACAAGAAACACCTGTGGCTCAAGGGAGAATCATTCTAAGAGTTGATTCCCCATTCTTTTCAACCATCGTTTGTTTCCAAAACCGGATCTGCTTTTTGGGGTTTTGGGTGGTTTTTAGAAACAAGGATGCCTGGGTTCAGAATGGAAATGGATGGTACCCCTAGAATCATGCTTGACTGCTATTGGGTTGGATCTTTAGACTTTAACTTTTTGGGAAATAACGGGGTTTTCCACTAAACCCCCCAAAAGTTAAAAACCTTTTTGCAGGGGGGTCAACAGCAATCAAGCATGGGGAGCCCTGCGAACGTGGCCATGAGTCAGAGATGCCCTTTGGCCCAGGCCCCGGCACTGGTGCTCGGCTCCGCCTTCTTGGATGACCCCATGCGGGGGCCCTGGATGTGGGAACCGGTTTTTCTTGTTCCCCGGTACCTTTTGCAGGTGGGCTTTTCAGGTGGTTTTTGGCCCAGCAGGAAAGCCGGAGCCTAGGGGGACATTTCTTTGCCACACCATCTTCCTTTCTGAAGCCGTTTCTTTTCAGGTTGGCTTAAGTCACTTCCTCAGCAACAAAAACACGGAGTCGATTTTCGGGGGGACGCGTCTGAGCCTTCCGAGGGTATTCTTTTGTAGGTGGGTTTTTCCATGTGGTGTTGGCCCAACGCAACGGCAACGCCGGAGCCCATTTTGGGGGGCACACGTCCTTGACACATACCCGTGGTCCGAAAATTTTTGTGGGAAAGCAAGCTTCGAGGTTTTACTTTGACCACCAGGGTCCATCAAGAGGCATGATGTCCCTTTGCTGACCTGCGCGAGTCGGCAAAAGGATCTCCTAGGATTGCGTCAAGTTCCGGATACCTTCAACCAGTTGGCAGTTCTTTGGGTTTCCCAGCAAGCCCCCTTTTGGGCCGATCGATGGATTTTGGATGCCCCAATAGTTAAACCTTGGGTCCTCCATAGGCCACAGGACTGTAGGTGTCCCTTTGATCGGTTAGGTTGGTTAGAACTGGGGGGTTGATCAATATTCCATTTAGGGCCCCCAGTTTTGACCATGGGAACCTGTTCCCATGTGGGAAATCTGTGTTTGTGGTGGGTGTCCCAATGGTAAAGGACCTTTTTGATCAACCCCCATAGTAGCTTTATGCCGTCCATTTACCAGGCAACCCCCATCGTTTTTTCCAGTCCTGTCACCTATGCAATGCACAGGACTGTTCGGCTTTTTCAGGGACATCCCGCCTTTCTCTGACTCCATGGATCTAAAATAGATCTAAGGGCCCGTCAAATTGAGGAGTGTTCTGGCCTTTCATTTGGGTCGAGTCGAACCCCGTTCTTGTCAACCATCGTCCGTTTTTCTGTTTCAAGGGTTTGGGGTTCAAAAGAAGTCACCCAGTGATCCTTTCATTTTTCCAGAACTTCGCGAACCTTCGGCTTCGGGGGTCAAAAGCCAACCCCACGCCTGGCGGGTTCTCGACATCTCCCCAGGCGAAAGATGGAGCGACCGGGCCCCCCGAAAAGCTTACCCAGGTCCCCCAGCTAGGTGCCCTTTTACCTTTTTTTGGGGAAGGTTCCCCTGTTAAAATAGACTACAGGAAAAGGGTGCCCTTCTTCTAACCTCTCTACTGGAGGACCTAGGTCAAAAGCTTGGTGAACTTGTTGCCTCATCTTTCTCCTCAATTGGATCTCGCTGGGCTCAAAGAACCAGGTGTTCTGCCCATGACAGCCATCCACAGATGACTTGTTGCTTGGTTGTTTTTCTCGTTTCCGGCAACCAAAACAACCAGAAGGGTCCGCTCCCTTTCACATTGTTGGCATGTTTGGATCATGTTTCGCAGGTGTGCACGTTTCCTCAAATGTTGATCGATATTTGTTCAGGAAGCACAAGCCATTAAACACACTTGAATTTAGATGGTGTTCCTTGAACAGCACAAGCAGAGCCTGATCTATGCACCTGTATAGGTACCCAAGGGGATTCCCACCCATCAAGTAAACAATCCAAGAAGCTTGGTCTTTCTGGGCGAACCACCAGCAACTTTGAGGCTTCCTTTTCTGAGACAAACCCTGAAATGGTTGGTTTCCTTTCGGTTTCCTTATGGTTTCCTTTCGGTTTCCTTTCGGTTTTCCTTTGTACGCCAAACAAAAGGGGTCCATCCATTTTGGCTTTAGCCATGAAGCAACTCTCAGGCGCGAGCTTCTGACCATGGTCTTCGAGTTTGGAGCCGTACCGCTGGCTGGGGTACGCCCAGCCGATTCCGCTTCCCAATCCCTTTGCGATTCGCCTGGTGTCACGGACCCTTGTGAACTGGAATAGGCATGTGTGTCCAGTGTGTGTGTGTGTGTCCTGTGTGTGTGTGTACGGGTAAGGGGCATTTATGTGTGCTTGTGCGTGCGTGTGCGTGCGCCTGCGTGTGCCTGCGCCTCCGTGGGCCTGTGCGCGTGCGTGCGTGCATGTGTGCGAGTGGGTGCGTGCGAGCGTGCGTTGGCGGGCGGGCGGGTGTGGATGTGTGTGTGTGTGTCTGTTCGTGGGACCACCCTGGGACCTTCAACTCACTTCCCGAGTTCCTGGACTTTAGTCTTTTTGGGAAGACCATTTTGGCGGCAAAGAAATGGTGTTTTTTGTTTGGCCCATCAACTCGGGAAGTGAGTCAAGAGACATGATTCCTTTTCCCTGATTCTTGTTGTTGGCTTTCTGGGTATTTGAGCCATATCCGCCGTCCGCAGCCTCCAAGATTCGTAAAGGCGACTTCAATGAAGCAGCTAAGCGTGATGGCTTCATTCATTCCAGCGGCCTCCTACAATCACATGTATGTTTTGTGGTAGACAATTCATACAGAGTCAGATTTTGTTTTCTAACCAAGATGCTTGTGGCGTGATCTTGTATGAGCGAGCAGACGGCCTTAGCACGACATGGGCGTCAACGCAGAGCTCGCAGACGAGCATTCCTGTAGTGACCAATCCTTCCTCGTTTGGGAGTTCGCTTAGTCAGGTGCTGGAGTTCTCGTGCATTTTGCGGCAGAAGTGCAATCAGACGGTGTGCCAACCTTTGTCACACTCAACAATGGCAAGGGCTGGGCGAAACGTGTTGAAGCAGCTAACACCTGATCCCCGGAAAAGGGCAGCCAAAAGGATGGCTGCTCAACCAATAATTAGTGGTCAACCATGTGTAAAGGTGTTGTCCCAATCCTGGAAAAGAAGAAGTAGTACTGCAAAGGCCATGATTCGCGCATAGACAGCCAGCCATGGCTGAGTCGGACATACCGGCTTTTTGCCTGCAATCAGTTTGCCGGACGCCAGAATCAACACCCAAGTGAACAGGCGGCCCGAAGAGTTCTGGTTCTTAGGCTGAAACCCAGGGGTTTCCCTTTTGGGGCAATCAATCATCAACCACCTATTGCGTTTAAGTCTACCTTGGGACAGTCAACAAAGAACAAATGGAACCCTGGGGGCGCCAAACCTTGAAGCGCCCCATTTGTTTCTTAGGTTTGCGTAGGCTATACAACTGTTCGACCACGACTCGATTTCTTAACAGAGATTGTTTCACTGACGATCTGGTCACGTCCGTTGAGTGTTGCTTGCAGTATTATGTGGATAAAGGTCCCAAAAGGAAAAACAAACAGCGTTTTGAGTTGAGAGGTCTACTGGTCTTGTGCAGGGTAGTCATTTTTCGACTTGAACAAGGCATCACCTACCAAGTGCAAGCTTCCACCTGGATCTACGAAGCCCATTTTGAGTAGACCGTGTTTGACCAGGATTTCGTCTCAGAGCAGCAATGTAGCTAGCACTTCTCGAGCTCGCGGCTTTGGAAGCAATTGACCCACATAGAGACAGATGTTCTTCAAACACGACTCTGAGAACAGGTAAACTATAGACCACAAACTTACTGACAAAGGGAAACGATCGAACAGGTCCTCAACCCTGTTGGCAAAGATGCTTGGTTCTGCGCTACATTGGCCATTCAGCCTGCAAGCATCAAGGGCTGAACGAATGAAGCCACATGAGGAACTGACGTAGATGAATGGGGGGCCTGCCCCAAAACCCCCACCAGAAGCTGGCGGCCCACCCAATTTTCCCACGTCCTCTTGGAGAAGCTCTGGCGTTTTCTTCAAGCTCTGGCTTGGTTATTTGTGGCTTCAGGCCAGCGGGCTATCCGCGCCTCGCCTATCTTGCATGTGGGTTTGGTCAAGACTGCTTCCTTTCGTTGGGAAAGCAGACCCGGGGAAAAGAACAAGAGACACATTCCACGAGGGGCGAACTTTTCACGCCTATTGCTTTCCAAAGTGATATTCTGCCCCTGTTTGATGTTTTTCGTTGGCGACTGGCTGGGTTATCTTGTTCCAACATGTTTCCTGACCAAAGGGTTGATTTCCATTTCGCAAACCATCTATTGGTTTTGGCTTTGCGCAGTTTTCTGAAAGATCCCTCAGGAGTTCCCACAATTCAAGCTGACCAAAAGCAGGTCCCGTTTTTTTGACAGCCCCTCCTTGCCGCTTGAAACGCCCGCGAAAGCTTGCCAAAGCGGAAGTCACGGAAGTGCCCAAAGGTCCCGCCGCGAAAGCCACGCGAAACCGTATGCTGAGGGTCCGAGGGTGTGCTTCGCACAGTCTGCAAAAGCGCGAAAGCAATTGGGGAATCCAAGCCCGCGAAAGCAAAACATGTGGTTGTGAAGCATCGCGAAGGGGCCCGCGAAAGCAAACTCGTGATAACGCTTCTTCTGCCAGAGTTTTCGGCCTTGCTCAGTTGTGAAAGGACCTGACCACATGGGTCTTTGGTGCCGCGACGGCCCCAAAAGAACCTTTTGGAAACAAAATCGACTCAAACCAAAAGACTGTTCCATCTGAAACGAACTACAAAAGGTCTTTCCCTGGTTGACTTCTGATCGATTTCTCTTTATCGGGGCGCTGGGAGCCAAAATACTGAAAGCGTTTCAGGAAGGCTTCGCCCACATGCCGGGCTTCCTCCTCCCGGAAGAGGTGCGGGGTGGTTGACTCTTGAAGCTAGGGACATGGGTCGACTTGGTGCTCCTTTGTTTCGGTTAGGGTTTCGTCATCAGTGGGGAGCTAAAGTTAGACTGTTCGCAGGGGATCGAGTTTGGACAGAGCCAAAGCGGGTTCATTTCCAGGGCCTCGAACGAGAAAAGGCGCGGAGCTTGTGTTGGGATGTCCGGATGGACCCAAGGGGCTAGCCGGCATAGGATAGGTTTTCTGGCTAGGTGCCCTTTCTCACCCGTTTCTTTTTGGGTTGGGAGGGTTTCCACCTACTAAAATCGACTGCAGCAAAAAAGGGTACAGTTATTCTAACCTTTTTTATTGGAGGACCTGGACAAGCCTCCTTTTCAGACCCGCTGACTGGACTGATAGGTGATAGCCCCCATGCATATGGTTGCCGTTGCCATTTTCAAGATTCAAGAAATACACTCCATGAGGGAAGCTCTGATCAAGGGGGGAAACATCTTCAGGCAATCCTCAGTCTTCGTCAGTATTTAACAACCGATGCTCAATACATACGGTTGCAAGGGCCCCTCACATGAACCTTTGGTCATGGGTTTAACGAAAATAAGTGGTTGCTAAACCAGTCGCTTTTGAGAATGTGGGATTCTCCCAAAACATGACTCGGACCCCAAAATGGGCGGTTTCCTTTGGTTTGCCTGAACCTCCAAAATAAGGACCAGCCACCCATGTCTCTAAGAAACTTTTCTAGGAGATTCTCCGTAAACTCGCCAACCCACAGAAACAAAAATCCAGGGGTTTGGGTGATTTCTTCTTGGGTGTCTCTTTTTTAAAGCATCGGACCCCGGCCAAAAAAGGGCAGAGGAAGAAAAGAAACGATTTTCGGTTTGTCTTTTGCTTTCCGGTTGAAACCCAAAAGGGCACATCTGTTGTTGTCACGTTTTCAGGTCTTGAGTTTTGGTTCTTTGCATTTTGAGGGGGGGGCTGCTACCATACAAGTTTTGTAAAGTGTCCCTTTGAAACCCCAAAAGGGCATTTTAGTGGTGTTGGCCTGTTTTCTTCACGTTTGTAGTTGTGCTTAAACCCGAAAGGGCTCCCCCTCCCCCCCCAAAAAAAGAGCAAAACCAGAAAAGTCCGTCTGTTGCTACCATAGGGTAAGTGCCTCCCCCCCGCTCAGACGGCATGCCTCGATCGCCAGGTGCACGCCCTGCACAGCGCCGTAGCCCAGGGCCCGCGGGTGCTGGAGACCATCTCCACCGGGCGCCCGCTGGCGGCGGCGCCGGGGGTGGCCTGAAGTCCGACGGGTCGTTCGGCGTTGTTGGGCGTTGGGCGTTGGGCCGAGGCCGCGCTTTTTTTTTGGGTGGTGTTCGGGGGAGAAGTATTGGAATTTGTTTTCTTTGCGGCGTTGTTTTGGGGGGAAACAGTAGCTGAGAGGTGGAAGAGGTCGAAGAGCTCCAAGCCTAGTTTCGAATGGGGTAGACTAAACATGAAGCAGAATCTGAGGTGTTTTCCTCTGTTTACAAGATGTGGCCCAACCATGGATGCACCACTTGCCCTGGCTGTTTAGGCAATTTTCAGAACACGTGCAAAGAATGGCGGTGGATGGCGCCCACATTAAACGCTAGGCATCCTTGCTGGACTCTGACACATGGGCGAGGCAACCTGCAAGACGTCGAAGCTGGCAGTCAAACATTCCGCAGCCTGGGTGGTGAATACTCAGCAGCCCTGTCCCTCTGTAAAACGCTGCAAGGCCTTTTCCATTGCCTCGTTTGGGCGAGCATGATACGTCCCCACCGGCATAAGTGACAAGGTCTATTTGGCCGGGTACTAAGCCCCCCTTCACAAATCACCCACCAAGAGGACCCTCACCTAACACTTGGCTTCAAAGTGTAAACCGGCTTCAATGGGACATCATTTTAACTTGGCAACCACAAGGTTGACTCTTCCAACCCGCCAAAACCTTTGAGCCGGCGTATGAGGCAATCTCCAGGCAGCCGATGCCAAACAGGTGCCATAGTTCGGCTTTCAGTGAGAACTCACTTTCCGTTGCGGCCCAGTTCCCCAATACAATTCAGCTGTCACTTGCAGGGCGCCCAGAGATCTGCAAGGCATCTCTGGACATCTTTGGACTTCCTATTCTGAACTCGTTACTAGGTCCCCCACCAGTAGTGCCCTTTTACCCTTTGGGGTCCCCTACTAAAATAGACTACAGAAAAAGAAAATCGGGTACCCTTATTCTAACCTCTCTACTGGAGGACCTAGATTACTATTTGCTTCGGCACCGCAAGCC